CCGTTCTAACAGGTGTGAGGTGATAAAACGGCTCACTGAAGTTTTAATTTGCATTTCCCTGATAATTAGCAGTAAACGTTTTTTCTCATATATATCTCTTGGCCATTTTTATGTCTCTTTTAGAAAAATGTCTATTTAGGTCCTTTCTTCCTTTTTTATGAACAAAAAGAAAGTCACTTCTTTATTTCTTTGTTTCTTTTTATCTTTCTTTTTGGTCTTTTTGAGACAGGGTCTCACTATGCAGTTCAGGCTGGTCTCGAGCTCACTTTGTAGCCCAGGCTGGCCTCAAACTCACAATGATCCTCCTGCCTCAGCCTCCAGAGTGCTGGGATTACAGATGTACACTACCATGCCTAGCCAGGAAAGTCACTTCTTACAATGAAAACTTTCTTTGGAAATTCCCTACCCTAATGATATATCTACTATCTGTGGTGGGGAGGAAAGTTGTCCACTCTGCCAAGATAAGACAAATCCTGGATAATCCATCAGGCTCACTTTGTATCACAGGAAAACTCACAATTGTCTCCTGGCTTCCATTTCCTTATCTGTGACATAGAGCCTGGGTCAAGGTGCTAAATAGCTTCCAAAACCTTTTACTGCTGATATTTGATGACTATAAACCACAATGTTCCTTATGTCATGAAACAAATGTTGCAACTGACTTTTCCCCCCCTTAAGACTCATTTACTGGGAGAGTTTCAAAATCAGAGAGGAGCAGCTTTAATAATGAATTACCTCTTGTAGATTTTGTGTAATGTCACCTTTGGCACAAACTTTAAGGCAGGCACTGCTCCTTCCATACTGTTGTCCTTTACTCTTGCCCTTGAATGTTTTATTCATTTTCAGTACAGATTTATCTTCAGCAGGATGAATAACTGACCATAACACTGAAAGAGCATATGGTGGCACCTCCGTTCACAAACTTAATTCTTTCCACAACTCTGGTTGTCAACTGAATTGGTTGCAAACCACATCAGATTTCCCCATAAGGTCAACATTGAACCTAAACACTGAATTTGATTTGGTTCACAACCAGTTCAGCTTGTGGCCAGAATCCTTGATAGAATTAAGTTCATGAACTGAAGTACCAAAGTATTCCACTCTTTAACTCCTATAATACCCATTATAAGTTTTACTTGTGAAGATCCCCACTTCTATCTCTGTTCTGGCCACATTTTTAAAGCAAACCTCAGTTTCTTGTTCTGGGGTTCAAGGTAGGGAATGCATGCCTATATTCATTCATGCCATTTGAAATGCTTTTCACATGTATAAATATTCTAAAAATAAAATAAAATTTTACCTACATCCTATTCATGTCCAGCTCTAAAACTGCTATGCTCTTTCCCCAAGAGACTTCTAGTTGAACACACTTCATCTTGGTCGGGTGGGATAATGGTATTAAGTGAAAGGAGTCAATCTACATTCACTTTTCTTGTCAACAGACTCCTCTCATCCTTCCCTTCCAAAGAGGTGTTCCCTTACATTCTCAGGCTTTTATGGCAGTATTTTATATTCTGTAGGTTAGCTGAGATTTGGAATATAGCAATTGCCTCATCCCAGTGATCATCATTACAGTCAGATGACAAGATAATTCAATGGAAGAGGAATATGCTTCTCAAGAAATGATGCTGGAACAAATGGATATTCACATACCAAACACTGATGTTAGATCCTTACCTCACAAACTACTGAAATTTTGATAGAGATTGCAGAGTCCATAGACCAATTTAGAGAGTATTGCTATGTTAACTATGCCTATCTTATACATGAACAGATGTCCTTTTGTTAATGTAGGTTTTATTTAGTTCCCTTCAAAATCTTTTTTAAGTTTTCAGTATACAAGTTGTACATTTTTTTGCTAAGTTTATTCTTAGGTTTTTATAGCTTTGGATACTATTGTAAATTCAATCATTTTCTTTATTTTGAGATTGTTCACTGCTTGAGTATAGAAATACAAGTGATTTTTATATATTGGTCTTGTGTCTTGCAAACCTTGCTGTTATGGCTTAGATCTGAGGTGTCCCCCCAAATTCTCATGTGTGTGGAAAGTGGGTTATGGGAGCTCTATAGCTCAGCCACTGAATGTGCTATCGGGAGGCGAGGTCTGGTTGGAAGTGTCAGGTCACTGAGGCTGTGGCCTGGAAGAGTCTGTCTTCCTCCCCAGTTCCTTGCTTCTCTCCCTGCTCCCTGACCACCACAAAGTAAGCAGCCTCTCCTCTGCTATGCCCCTCCACTGTTCCATCTCTGCCTTGGAGCCAGCTGACCATGGACTAAAGACATGAGCCAAAATAAACATCTCCATTAAGTAGTGGATATTTTGTTCCAGCGATGGGGAAGGTAACTGAACACTTGTTGGACTCATTTATTAGTTTGAATAGCTTTTTGTGCATTCCCTGGGATTTTGCATGTACAAAATTGTGCCATTTGTAAACAGAGGGAGTTCTGTTCTTCTTTTCAATGGATGCACTTTATTTTTCTTGCCTAATTGCACTGGCTAGAACCACCAGTACAACTGTGACTAGAATTAGCAAGAGCTGACGTTGCTTTTCTTATTCCTGAGGCTGGAGGGGAAGCTTTCGGTCTTTCACCATTAAGTATGGCACTCACTGCGGATCTTTAACAGATGCCCTGCACAGTCTGAGGAACTGTCTGGCTATTCCTAGTTTTCTAACTGCTTTCAATCACACAGAGATTTTGGATTTATCAAATGCTTTTTCTGTACCTATTGAGATTCAGCTTCTACAAAACTTTTAAACCGAAGTCTCCATCCCACCCTGTTTTTAATCTCCCCCTCATAAATACAGAATATTTTAAAATTCAATTTAGATTCTGAATGTCAAGAACTTCCTGAAGGATGGATGAATGAGTAGTCAAGACTCTTGATCCCAGTTCTTCTTATACCTGGATGCTGTGTAACCACCACCCCTCCCCCTTCTAAATGGCAATTAGAAGTGAAATAATGTTTTCCGTGGACTGGGTCTACTGGTGATACCTACAAAAATATTGGAATCACAGGAGAGATGTCCTGTACATCTCTTGCATGCGCAGGAAATATAGTATATCAAGGGTGTGTACAACTAAAATGAAACAGAAAAATGAACAAAAGTTAGCTGTATGAGAAATAAGGTAAAGGAAGTATAATAGATTTTGCCTAGACCTTCCCAGTGCAGGATTCTGCATCTCCACTATTCCATTTCATGTTTATTTTTCAAGGCCTTTCATATCACTTCTCATATTTCAGGAGTCTGGGTGGTGACCATTTTGCCTGCCTCGCTCACATGTGTGAGCTATCTGTTCCACATTCTGGCCTGTTATAGGTAAGAGAACTCTGGAACTCATTCGTTTGGCTTTAGCCAGAAATGCATATGGCACAGTTTCCTCAAAATCCCTGAGCAGTGCCTACAGTACCTAATTTGAGCCCATGCAGTGAACACAAGGTCCAAGGGTGGCCACATCTTTTGGTAAGAAGAAAGAAATAGTAGCTATTGATTTGAATTTCTGCGGTGAGCTAACATTATGCTTAGAAAGTTCATCTGAATTCCACTACAACCCTGGGGGTTATGTACTTTCATCTCTACTTTTCCAGTTGAGAAGGCTGGAACTCAACAAAATGAAATAGCACACCAAACGATTAGAAGATGCTCAGTCTTTCTGACCCCCCAGACAGAGACACTTCTTATCCTTGTTTTTTCCTTGTACACTCTGGTATCTCTGTTGGGTGCTATCTAGGACTGAGGACACTGGGCTCCCAGCAAATAAATCTGGCTCAAGGGAACCAGGAACATCAATCTCCAGAATGGCAATGCTGGAAGAGAGGATGGCTTTAGTCATACAATGAACACTTGCATTTTGTATGAAGATATCAATTTTGGAATCTACTGTTTCTCTCCCTCCCTCCCTCCCTCTCTGTTTTTTCTTTCTCTCTGTCCCTGTTCCTCTAGTCTCCATGTAGCTCAGAGATATTTAGAGAGACATCTGAGCACATCTAGAGACATCCCCACTGCACAGGGGGCTGATGGACTTGGAGGGTGGCTGAGTGGAGGGAAAAGAAAAGACAGCTGGGGAAACAAGGCCCAGGACCACTTTTCCCCCTCCGTGTCACCCAGGAGTGCACTGGGGCACTGGAAATTAGAGATGAGAAAGCACCTTTCCCTCTGCAGTGTACCAACATTTTATTTTCTCCCAACCTCATTGCAACCTATGTACAGGTACTTTAAAAAAAGAATATTTACTGTGAAGTAAATCTTGCTCCCACTTGGATCCTTAATTTGTTGTCCCAAGATATCTACTGCAAACTATTTTCTGTGTATCTTCCAGAAATGTTCTATGTACACTGCAACTATCTGGTGTGTGCATGCATGTATGCATGTGTGTGTGTGTGTTCGTGTGTGTGTGTGTGCACACACGCATGTGTGCTGGTGCCTATATGTTATTTTTACAAAGTATATTAAGCTTTCAGATTGTGAAGGCAAATCAGAACTGTACTGTGAGCTACAGTCAGCACAGTGGACTGCACCCCACCTGCACAGGCCTTGCTGTTTATATCCGTCCAGTTGTGACATACCTACAGAGTCATAGTTATGAATGTTACTTAATTTCCCACTTTTCCTCCAGAAAACACACGAAGAGACTGTGGGCAGGAGATAAACACTTCCTCCCTTTGAAGTTCCGTGATCCTTCTCCATCTGAGAGTGTGGTAAGTCTGCAGGGGTCTCTGCATTCTGAGACTGAGTGTTGACGCTGACCCACAGTCAGAGGGATGAAGCTTCCCTTCTGCTCTGAGGCCCCTGTTTTCTTTTAAACCTCAGGCAGCCATTGCAAGGTACTCTGGCTGGCAGATAGCCTACATTCTGTGGGGTAAGTGCCATCCTGAGACCCATCAACCCAACACACATCCTGGGCACCTGTGGAGGGCCGGCTGTGGGAGGAGGGGACCAGGAAACAGCCCCAACTCCTGCTCCTAAGGGACCTTCAGGATGGAGGGAGAAACATACTCCATATACTGTCTGCCCACCTGCGCTGCACTCTCAGGCTGTGTGTGCTAAGGGGAGTGGTGACCCAGAGGAAGAAGTGACTGTCCACCCCCAGGGCAGGGCTCAGAGGCTATGGAACTTGGCCTTTGAATTGTACCTGGCAGGGTGGCAGAGGTGAGTGAGAAGACACGGAAGGTTGCGCCAGGCAGAAGAAACATGCCAGGGCCTCCAGTGGAGGAGGGCACAGGGTGGGCTGCAGGGAAGGGCACAGAGGTCATAAAGGGCCCAGAGCGATCCCTGCCCTCTCACCCTCAGGCTACCTCATCATCCATGTGATGCAGAGCCTGTGTGGCATGATGATCATGTATGGCCTGGTGCTCCCCATTACCCATGACCGGGGCCTGGAGATGCTTCGAGGCCTGGGCCTGGGGCTGTAAGTGCGGAATGGGTGTCCTGTCCTCTCTGGGTCCTGGGTGCCAACTTGGGTTTCATGCTCTTGGCTCTCACCCAGGAGCCAAGTTTACAAAAAGCTTCCTTTCTCACCATTATGTGTGGCCTTCACAACAGTGTGTGTTTGTGTGTGTAAGAAGATACATTAGGTTCATTTTCCAGCTGGGAAAATCAATTTGTGGGGCAGTAAAGTAAGGGACAGAACAGCATGATAGGAGGAGGCAGAGAATCCTGGCTAAGCTTTTGGATCTGCTATGTGACTTGGAGTAAATGACTTCTCTTCCCTGAGCCTGAGTTTAGCTATCTAGGAGACAAAATGAATGCTGGCATCACTGAGCATGCAATGCATCTTTCCTCATACCTATGAGCTTGGTGCTTATGTTCAGAGCAGGAGCACTGCAGCATCCGGAGCTGGGCAATCTGCAACTAGAGCCTCCTTCTGCTGTTACCCTACACTGCCACTCACTGGGCATCAACATAATCGGGCACTTTCTGGGGACCTCCCTGCTCTGAGCTCCATGGTTCCACACTTATTTAGAGCTGTTGTGTGAGTGGAGCCTGCGTCACTCTCTCTCTCAAAGACTTCTCAGGCATGCCCAAACCCCCATTCTGTTCTTTTGTTTTCAATCTGTTAAGCCACTCACCCAGCTGCCACCTCTGGTAAAAAGGGATATCAATTGGAGCCAAGGACTGCAATCAGACCAGAAGAGCTGACCATGCGGCCTTAGGGAAGTCACCTCCCCTTTGTGAGCCTCAGTTTCCTGACCTGTGCAATGGGCATGGAAATATTTTGTGAGCGTAAAGTACAGAGCTCATGCCCCTGTTCTGTGGGGTGGCCAGCATCTCTTTCCTCTGTGTGGGCATCAGAGAAAGTCCTGGAAGAGTAGCATAGAACACCTCAGCACGGTCCTGCCCTGTGTTTCAGCCTCACCATATCCATTGTTGTGGGCCTCATGATCCTGCAGGTGTGGATTGCCACCAGCTTCTTTCTGCAGCCCAAACTGGGCACAGATGACAAGCAGAAGCCCTTGGCTCTCAACAACAGGTAAGGGTACAGGAAGGCATAGGGCCACTGCAGGGGTTCAGCGGTCTCTCTGTTCTGCCCTTTCCCTGTTGCAGGTTTGAGAATGGACTCTACATTTTCTAAGAGACTGTGGTGCAGGGGCCAGGGTGTATTCTGGAGCCAGTCCACCTGGGCCTCAATCCTGGCTCCCTGCTTGCAGCACTGGACCCTCGTGTGTGCTGACCACACATCTGTGAACCTCGGGTTCCTCTTAGGGATACTTTTGTTTACCTTACAGATGTGTTGTAAGGATGAAATGTGTTAATATATGACTTAGAACAGTGCCCAGAACATGGTAAACCCTTCTAATTCGTTCACCGGGGAGAGCTGGGCACTGACGGTAAGGAGATAATCCTGCCCTTGCCTGTGAGAAGCTCACAGCCCCCAGACTAGAACAGGCACACAGGTGGCAAGGGGACAGAAGACTCCAGAGGGTGCAAAATGCCTACAGGAGAAGCGCGGATGATATAGGAGGAGAGGCAGAAGTGGAAGGAAGGGCAGGGTGGGTCCCTCACTGCAGATGGGATGCTGAGTTGGGGTGAGCATAGAGTGGGGGGATTTCTACAGGTAGAGAGGAGGAGGGGCGGTAGCTCCCAGCTGCTACAGCACAGATGGAAGCAGGAAATTACAAAAGAGCAGGATGTGTTAAGAGGAGAGTGGAAATGAAAAATGGTCACCATACAGTGGCCTATGACAATGAAGGACAGGAAGGGAACCCAAAGTGACAATGTCAAGAAACCCCTCACAGAGGGAGCTCTGACACTCAGGGTATAAAGTCTGAGCTTTGTTCCAGAGGCAACAAGAACCCTGTGATTGGCGGGCCTCTGGGAAGTTTCCCTGGAGAACTGGGGCGGGTCCTTGCTGCAACAGACAGTGGGGAAGCACCATGTTCTTGTCACCTAGGAAGCCTCAGACCCCAAGGACTGCATGAAACAAGCATAGCTCCCACTAACATTCGTCCCACCTGGTGCTCAGGGCCCTCCCCTCCAACCCATGAGCCACCCTCACTCCACGTCTGTGAGGGCCCCTCAGCCTCCCCTGTGGCACAGCGCAAGGGTACAAGGCTGGGAGACGGAGTTGCGTTGTTGGACACTACTAGGTCTGGGGGAACCCAAAGCCTGCCTGCGTGTCTAGCCACCTCACCCTACTGAGGGGCTGCCTTGGGCTTCCGCTTGCAGAAAAGCCTTCCACAACTTCAACTACTTCCTGTTCTTCTACAATGTTCTGCTCGGCCTGGGCGCTTGCCTCTCCAGGCTGCTCATCAGTTGCGTCCTGGGCACATGGCTGATTGCGCGCATTGACAGGACCATCATGCAGAGCGGCTATGAGAGAGCCGACATGGGTAAGTGACTAGTCTCTGGGGGCCATCTCCTCTGGAGTGGGCTAGACTTACACCTTTGTGGAGGCTACCTTGGAAGGTGGATGTCAGAAGCCTGGAATTCACACCTTGCTCCTGCTCACAGCTTAGCTTCTGGAGGAGAACGTAAAGCTAAACAATAGGAACACGGGCAGCCCGAAGGTAAGGCAGACTTTCAAGGTGTGAGGGAGACCTAGTCAGAGGTAGTGAATGCTATTAAACAGAAGTTAGTTTATGAAAATTTTGAGAAAGGACACATCTCAGAATTATTACTGTTGTTCATTGGAAAGTTATTGAATAAAAATGTTCTGTTCCACTGAAATATTCTAAAATCAAAGCCATTTCTGAGGAAATTCAAAAGCAGTTTTTGTTTGCCTTCCAGCCCCTATCACTCATTCCTTAACCATTTAATGTCTGCACCAAGGCCTTCCTAGTCCATGCTTTGGCTGCTCCCAGCCCCTTTGTGCTTTGAGTTCTCCATAAAACAGACAGACTAGAATGTAATCTCTAAAAAACATCCAGATCTTTACAGCTTGTTTTCTAGATTCTCAGTAATGACTTGGGCACCATTGGGGTACAAACTGCCAGATATATCATCAAGCACAAACTAGGCCGTGCTGGGAGCTACCACCCAACTCAACCTCCCTCTGGGTTGCAGGGTTCAGCGCTTGGGTCGGCATGCTTTATGTGGACCATTATCACACCAACCCTGTGCTCGTCAGCTTTTGTCACATCCTGATCACAGACCACAAGGAGAGGAAGTTGCAGAAGACTACCAAACACTGGTGCCTAGGCCAGTCAGCAGGTAATATCTCCTGTTGGACCCTGCACTAGGTCCGGAGAGCAGGAAATGGTTCCCTGAGATGTCCCAAGTTGCCCCTTTCCTGTCCCCTTTCTCTACACTCTCCGCCCTAGGTGCCCTTCCAGCAGGATGTTCATGAGGCTTAGCTTCTAGTCAGCCTGGCTATGGACCCTACTAAGGCTTTGGTGTCCTGCTAACTGGCCTCCCCACTTGTTCCCTGGAAATGAGCTCTAGGTTCTGCTAGTGGAGTCCTCTATGCCCCATTTGTTTCAGATTCTAAACTATATTCCAGGCCATATGCCAGATGCCCTCCAAGGTAAGGCTCAGTGTTGATTGTTCTGTTCTGTTGCTTCCACAAACTCTCTGCCCCTTTAGAGCTCAAACTGTTCATTGCTGTTTCAACACTGCAGATACCTCGCCAGGTCTGTGAGACAATTGTATCACAATCTTCTAACCTCCCTGTTGCTTCCAGTTTCTGAACTAGGTCTTTTGACCATGCTTTACACATTCTAGGCAGTTCTTCCAAAAGCCTTTGAGAACAGCAGGGGCAAACTTTCTCCCAAACATTCCAACTCCTGATCTATCTGCTCTGATTCTATCCTAGGTCCTCACATCTCAGCTAGGTCCAGGACAAGGTGGCTCCTCCTGCAGACCCTGATCAACAACCCCAGACTCATCATACTCAGAAAATCAAAATCAGTGCATGGTTCCCAGGAATTCACCCAGATTCTGTTGACGTGCTCAGATTGCTGACCCTGGCCACCAACAACAATTCTGAGACCAGACCCAGCCACCTGCTCCCAAGAGAAGGCTCAGTCTAACTAGCTGCTATTCCCTGCAGTGGAATGAGAAGGCACAGGCCCTGTCCACACAGGTGGCAGATAGTGTGGGCCACTGGTGGGATGGTCACCTGATTCGGGTGGTTGAAGTCTCAGGACTGTTTAACTTCCTTCACAGAAAAAAGAGAGAGATTAAAAAAACTAAAGAAAAGTCTGTTGAATAAATTTTGCCTATTGGTGACTTCCACTATCCATTGGGGGTGGGCAGCTGGGAGTTTCCTGTGAAGAAGCACTAAGTTTGACTCCAAGGCAGAAATGGTCACTGAAGAAGGTACTAAAATATCTATATCAAGAGACATCCCTATTTCTCTCTGAAACAGAGTGTGGCCCTCAATCCAACAGGGTTCTCATCACTTCTTCTTTTTCAGTCTTTATGGTAGGAAAAAGAGAAAGAAATCCATGATCCTAGCCCCTAATCTTGGAAGAGTAGGCAGGCATAGAGTGAGCTCTCTGTCCCATGGCCACTGGGATGAGAAGTAGATTGGAATTTAGCTGGGCTTTGCTTACAAAGAAGATGTTCAAATTTTCTATGACAAGGATGGGACCACCTAGGAAATCCTCTTGTCTGAGGAAGCAGAGATGTGGTGGACAGGCATTCCAGCTGGGTGACAATAAGACCAAAGTTGTGTGGGCAGACAAGCCCGAGGATGTTTGACAAGGGTGAACCATGTAGCATGTGAGGGTTCAGAGTGCTTGTTAGGACCATTCCAAGGATGCCCAACTGCCAGGCTGGGGGGCTGGGGATTTAGCTCAGCGGCACAGCCCCTGCCTGGCAAGTGTGATGTTGTGAGTCTGATTCCTGGTACTGGAAAAACACAAAAAAACAAGAAACAAAACAAAGAAACCAACTGCCAGGCTGGGAGGCTTGGACATCTTTCCTTGTGTAGAGCCAGAATTTACCCCAACTTTTCATCTTCAAATATAAGATCTCTGATGGCTGGGGACCTGTTTCTGATGAATCTGGGCAAGTAACATAAGAACCCTATAACAGGGCAGAGAAAAATCCCCATCTACTTCATGAGTCCCAGAGCGATTATAAGCTGGTTATCACGAAGTAACTAACGTAAACTCAGTTCTGTTCTTGGATGTGTTTGCCAGATTGTCTTTTTAGCATAGTCTCTACAACCAAACTTTGTCATGACGGTTTTAGAAAATGAGAAAACTAGGATCCCCATGCCACTATTTTGTGGCTGTGTGGTGCCTTTTTTTCACTCACTTCATCTGTAAAAAGAGGGTAGCACCCTCTAATGCCAAAATTATCTTGAGGATAAAATGAGTTAATACGTATAAACACTCTTAAATTAGTGTCTGACATCATAAACTCTCCTAGGCAAAAAATTTGACTTTGGACATTGCTATGATTTGAATATTAGTAGTATTGCCCAAAGGTACCAGTGTGTCAAAGTCTTGGTCCCCAGGTGAGCACTAGTGGGAAATGGTGGGACATTTAGTAGAGGGTCTAGTGGGAGGTCCTTACTTCCATGGGAGTATGTCCTCAAACAGGGATTGTGGGATCCTAGTCTCTTTATCTCTTTGTTTCCTGGCTAATGTGCTATGTGCTTCTGCCATGAGGCATTGTCTCATTAGAGGCTCAAAGCAGTGGGTCACTTAGGCTTGAACTAGAACCTCCAAAACCACAAGCCAGAATAAACCTTTTATCTTTATAAGTTAATTACCTCTGGTATTTTGTTAGAGTAACAAGAAGCTGACTAAAACAGATGTTATTTCACAGGAAGATGGCCAACAAGTATAAGAAAAGGTACTCTCATTGCTACTCATCAGGAAAATGCAAATTAAAGGGCTAATCTATTACATAATGGCTAAAATGAAACTGGTGACAATATCAAGTGTTGATGAGGATGAAGAGCAAAACAGGAACTCTCACATGCTATGATTATATAAATTCTTAACACTACTTTCAAAAATTCTTTGGTAGTTTCTTCTAAAGATGGGCACACACATATCATACGACTCAGCAATTCCAGTCTTAAGTACACCCCCGACAGAAGTGCCAACATAGGTCCACCATGCAAAAGAATGGTCAGAGCAGCATTACTGTATGTTTACAAAGTGAAAAAAAAAAACCCAATGTGCATTAATAGTAGAAAGGATAAATAAAATTGGTTATATTGTTAATAAGTGGATACTATACTACAGATACATTTTAAGAGAAGTATGAAACTTACAAACATACTACAGGGAGCCTGACATAAAAGGGTCTATTGCATATGATTCCTTTTAAATAAAAAAAATTAAAGCAAAAATAATTCGGGAGTTAGAACATTTGTCATCTTTGAGGCAAACAGAGCAATGACTTGGGAAGGGTACACAAGAAGGGCTGCTGAAAAATTGGTAACATTCTGTTTCTTGTATGTGCTGGTTCCTTTCGGGTAATTCACTGAGGTAAACACATATGACTTCCATTCTTTTAGATATGCACTTTATGCTTCAATATGCAAATTAAATTAGCTGGACAAAGAAGTTTTTCCCTGGTTACAATGCTAGGTGGCAAGTGCTTAGTTGTAGATTCTGAAATTACAGGATCTAGATTCATATCTTGGATCTAACTAGTTCCTATATCAGGAATCTTGGACAAGTTACTAATTCTGGGCTTCAGTTTTTCATCTGTAAGATGGGTTAATTATGGTTCCCTCTCACAGTTATTGGAGGGATTAAATCTTCTCAATAAATATTAGCTCTGGTGTTTGTCCTTGTGATTCTTCCTCCCATATAGTCTATGGACAAGATGAATAATTATCTGGGGTAGTAGTCTGAGAAAGATAGGTTTCAAGTCAAGAAACTTTTTAAAAACACCTATTTTATTTATTTCACTTTTAACTGACACATTTATTGGGCATGGTATGATATTTTGATTTATATATGCAGTGTATAATAATCAAATCACGTCTATTACTATATCTATCACTTCAAATATTTACCATTTCTTTGTAACAGGAACATTTGAAATCCTCTGTCTTAGCTATTTTGAAATATACAATAAATTGCTGTCAACTACAGTCACCCTATGGTGCTATAGAGCACTAGAACATCTTCCTCCTATCTAACTGTAATTCTATACCTGCAACCAATCTCAAAAGACATTTTCATGGTGAAGAGTGAAAGTAAAACAAAATCAGAGATGCACTGAGGTGCAAGGAGAAGTGCAGAGGCCTAGGTAACTCTTCCATCTCATGTCTTGGCTCACATCTAAACACTGGAAGGAAACTGACCAAGTGATTTCTAGCTGACTAGTCTTTCCAGCTAGGGCACTGCTGAGTGGGAAGGGCAATGGAAATGCCATCCCAAAGCCAAACACAAATTTCCCCATTTGATCCAAACTCAAGCATAAAGGCCTAGAAACTTAAGAATAAAGGGTGATAAATCCTTAGTGGTGGCTTTATAGGTTATTTTTTTTCTCTACTGTTATTTTCTACAGTAACAATTCTGTTTATTCAGAACAAAAACATTGTGTGTGCTATATAGAAGCCTATACATTTATACTCATGTAATTTTTTTGAAGAAAAAAATTACAAATGTGCTAGGAACTGCAGCCCAGACAGTGGGAAAGAGAACAGAGACTGCGAATTCCTGAACATTTTCTACTTCATTGTATTTTTCAGCTCTTCCCTCAGTCACCTACATTTTCTCTTTTTTTAACTGAAATGAATTCAACCTTCATTACAATATTTCACCCTCTTAAATTCCTGAACCAAAGAATGAAAATAAAAGAGTTTTCTGCCCACTGCTTCCTAATTTCCAAAGCTAGACTGGACAGAATGATCACTTGCTCTACGAAGTTGGCATAGGGAGTGTTTATTAGCAGTCTAACGGGGATCCCTGCCAAGAAACAAGCATAGATAGGATGGGTTTTCTCGACCGTGATGGCTCAGATCTAACTTTCAGCACATTTAACGTGCTGACCAGGATGCCTCGACTTCTCTGGGATATTTCCTCGTACAGAAAAGAAACAGTTTGAAGGAAGCGTTTGATTCAGTTTCAGTACTCCACGTGTGGGCTAAGGGCAAACCTCTCCCTGGGAATGGAGCGTGGGCGGGGCCGGGGCGTCACCGCCCTCCTGGGTTGCCTAGGAGACCATGAGTATCCCTCTGTAGTTGCAGCTGGACCGGTACAGGAGAACTGAACTGTGCTTTCTGTAGGTGAGGGCGCGGGGGTTTGGGGAAAGGCCTATCCCGGATCTGCTGGACTCGGGGTCATCTAGGGACTGCCCTGGCTGCTTGAAGGGGCTAGAAAGGAGACTGGGAGGAGTCAGCTGTGTCTTCTCCGCAAAAAGCAGGGCGCCGCCTTAGCTTGGCGGGAATCAGGCTCTTCCTTCGCTTTCTCCGCATCTCCCGAAGGGTGGGGTCGGGTCCCGAACTCGAGATCGGCTCCGGGTTGGAGTTCCAATCCCATCTAACACTTCGGGTGCGTTGACTTGTCCCAGAAGAACTTAGCAGGGTAAAGCACAAACAATAATCTTGCATTTTTATGTCCCCAAAGTCCTTGTCGGATTTGTGCCCTGCGCGACAGGGAAAGCAGCCTTCTCCCCCTCCCCTTCCCCTCCTCCTCTTCGTCCTCCTCCCGGCGGCTAGTCTGAGGTTTGTTTGTTTGTCGGCTTTTCCTCGCCCCGCTTCCTTCTGCGTTTGCTTTAGAATTTAAAAACTCCACCAACACCACAGCCGGTCCCCGAGGTAGCCCCGACCTCACTTGGGCAGAAGTCGGTTCCCAGCCGGGGTGAATTTAGACCCAACAGCGAACGCGTTTCCAGGACAACGGCTTCCCTGCAGGGCCTTCCGGCCAGGCCAGCGCCAAGATGCCGTCAGCGGGGAAGGCAACCCAGGTTCCGAACGGCAAAGTCTACCACCAGATCTTTCAGGCTCAGGTAGGGCCTGCCCACGGCCCCTCTTCTCAAGTTACACAGTCTCCCTGTACCCACAAACTTCCCTCTGCTCCCTCCAAACCTCCCTCCCTCTACAGGCGTTCCTGCCTGGACTTTGAAATTACTTTGACTTAATAGAAATTCTTATTATAATCTAGTTTTTACAGTGTATCAACAGAGAATTAGGATGCTTATTCTTGAAAATTAGAAAACTTAAACTGAAATTTTCAGTTTAAATTACAATACTGAGAAACATTCTGGATTAACCTTTCAGTGCCTTGAGTCTTTTTCTCACACATTAAAGCTGTTCTGACTGTTGTTTAAAACTGGATTTCATTGTGTACTAGTGTTTTGAAACCTACTTTTTCTCCTGACAGACCCATTCCTTTGTCCATGGATTCTCACAGCCCTCATGAATGCTAGAGGCTGCTCCTTGGATCTAGGACCCCCACCCCATTAAAGTGAAGCTCCTTGACTATGTTCTCTGTTGAAATGGCCTTGTCCTCTCTGACAGATCAAACTAGAATGTTAGGAAACCCACCACCATGAACCCCTCTTTTGAAGTTCTTTAAAGAGGAAGAACTTCTTTAAATAGGAGTTTTATTCCTAATGTGAGCCCTAAACAATGCTTTCTGTGAAATCTTTGAAAATTATAAAAACCAAAGAAACAACTAAATTACTCACATAATCCTATTCCTGTAAGCAGTGTGCCATCCTTAACACTTCTTCCAGTGGATATGCCCATCTGTGGGTAACATACATCCTCCCAGTGTTTTTTCTGTGCATTGTAAATATTGAAATTTATGCTACTAATTGACATGTTTATATATCATCTCAAACATTTCCTTGTGTCATGAAAATATCTTTGCAAGTTTCATCTTTAACAAACATCTAACAGTTTGTCAAAGGGACATACATCTTTATTCAACCAATCCACTATTACTGGGCAGTTCTATTTTTAAGAATTCCTTCTAAAAAGCCTAGCATGGTGGCACACACCTGTAAACTCAGCACTTGGGAGCCTGAGGCAGGAGGATTGTTGCAAGTTCGAGATCAGCCTGGGCCATAAAATGAGCTTAAGGCCAGCCTGAACTGTATAGCAAGAACCTGTCTCAAAAAAAAAAAAAATTTCCTTGTAATTATAGAAGAGACTGAGATGAGCATCTTAATCTTTATTTAAATTTCTTAAAACATGCCTTCCTTACAGTAACTGCATGACAGTTAAGTGAGGAGGAGAATCCTCAGGGGGATGGGCAGGTAGGGTTGGAGGTGTCCCTGAAAAGTGCCTTGTTGGTGGCAGGTCCCCAAATATTCTTCTTAGAGACACAGTCAGCTTGAGGGTGCTAGGAAGTCTGTAGCTCTGACTACCCCCTACCCCGCTCCTCCACGAATTCAGGTGCAGCTGGTCCACTCCTTGGCAACCACCAGGAAGCATGCTGTTGAGCATTCTGTGACCCCAAAGAGTGGCAGGACACCGGTGATGAAGAAGGTGGAGATTCCTGAAGGGGAGACGATGACCCCTCGGCAGTGGAAGTGGATGCACAGCCTCCCCAATGACTGGGTCACAGAAAACCCTGTTCTATTAAGGTTAGTCCTGCCCTCAGGCCCCAACCCACACACTGTGGAACCCTCAGTGTCTTCAGAGACATAGAGTGCCAGGTAGGACGGAAGTCTCAAGTATGTCCCCTGAAAAGGGAAGTAGTCACATCTACTTCAAAGGATCATTTGCTCTTCTGTCTGTGCCCCAGTAATTACTCAGTTCATGCCTAGGACCAGGCACTGGGTAGGAAGAGCCTGCCTGCATGGAACTTGAGGTCTCGGCAGTAATAAATAAGCACTTCCACCCAGAAGTGGGAAAGCATTGAGTCAGGGCCAAGAAAGCTCTCTGAGGAAGGGCCTTAGCTGAGATCAGGGGATGAGGAAGGGAAGGATGGGAGCAAGCTGTGAGGATGGGCTTAGCCCATTCCAGAGGGCTAAGTGTCAGTGGGCCTGGAGCAAGAGGGCAGGAGATGAAGCTGGGACACACTTTGCAGGCCACAGTCAGTGTTTTGGAATTTATCCAAGTGAGCAGCTGATTTGCATAGCTATGGTCCCTTGGGCAACTCTACAGAGTAAGAGTGGGGCCTGAAAAAGAAGCAGACAGTCCAGAGAGGCCACTGCAGTCGTCCTTGCCATCTTGGTGGCTCGGGCCTCCTAGTGGTGAATCACATGGCTGGAGAGGGCTCCCAGGAGTCCTTAGTCTCTGGCCTGAGTGCTGGGTGGACAGCAGATGTGCGATTCCCTGAGATGGGAACAGATAGGATTGGGGCAGGGAGATCAGGCATTCTTTGTGATCATCCAAATTGAGAAATAAACTTGAGATTCTTAAGTATGCCATTTCTGCTCACTGACTACTCAGCTAGAGAGAAAAGGAAGAAAGAAGAAAGGAGGCTAGCATCTCTCTCCCAGCTTTTTGGGAGAATGAAGTGAGAACCATGTTTTCCTTAAGCTTCTCAAGCTCAAACTCTATGCAAACTATAAACCCCTTGCCTGGCCAATAACTAGGGGATGGGAAATCAGGTCTCCTCTACCTGCGTTTATTGTCCTTCTCACCATCTGTGGGGCAAGGAGCCAGTACTGGGTTCAACTCCTTGTCTTGACTTTCAGTTTTCCCAGGGGGTCCTCCTCTGAGGATTCTGACCCCTCAACACCTTTACCCACGGATGAGCATATCCCCCGCCCTACTGCAGCCCCAGTTGAGGTAAGCCTTTCCCAGCTCTTGTCCCCAGCCTGATGCCCTGGAGAGGGTAGAGAGACACAAGCAGCTGGGGTCTGTCCAAGGTCCAGCACGCCTTCCAGGAGGGATATGTGGCAGCCTAGATGTGACTCTGGCACCCACAAGTTCCCAAGCCCACTCCCAGATAATCTTCTCATCCGGGGCTGGGGTCTCTTGATATCTTCTTGTGCTTCCTGAGGGTTTCTTCTTCCCTGAGGGTTCAGCCTAGGGTCACCTATCTTCCCTAAGTCCAGATACAGCGTCAGTCAGGAGCTCTAGATGCCCATGGCCCTTATCATGGAAGGCGCTGGCACTGTGCTGTGCTAGCTTCCTGGGATAGACAGACAAGCCCCTCTCTGTCCTGAACAGAGTCAGAGCACAGCTCTCTATAGTCTGGGCAGAAACAGTGATATATTTGTAATCTGCCGTAATGACAAGGGTCACTAACTTCATGTCCAGAATCTCTCTGGGGTTGGCCTGTCCCTTGTTCCAAGAAATGTGTCCTCTCTCCTCTGTCCACAGTGTCTCCTCCCTTTGCTTTCTTCCCAGCCAGCTCAGTCCAGTGGTTGGGTCACCACCTCACCTCCCTCAGTCTCCATCCTTCTCCTTACCCAGGAGAGCCCCCAACTCCCACCTAAGCCAGGGAAGATGGACAAAATCACCCAGGTCATGAGGAGGGCTGCTCCCAGATGCAGCATCCCTCTCTCACCTGAGCCTCTAGCTAGCCACCCTGGAGGCTCATAGCAGCTCTCCCAGCCTACCACTCTCCCTCAGGTCCTCTTTCCCTACCAATCTCCACCCAGGAGTACCCTATTTACACAGAAGGAAGGCCACAAGCAGGATCTCCCTACCCACCTGGGCAACCCTAGATGCCTTCCAGGGACTGGGGAAGGGTCAGGTGCAATCTTGTCTTCCCAGCATCATCTCCTCCAGCCTTCTCCCTCTCCCTCTGCAGGGAGTCCTTCTCAGACATCAGCCCCAGAGCTTTTACCTACCCAAGGCCTCTTCCCAGCTCATAAGCCCCTCCTTTTTAGAAAGGCAAGCCTATCGCAGCCACTGCTCCTTCCCAACATTGTCCTTTCTATGTCTCCCTAAGATTTCCTTGAGGCCAAGTTGCTGTGTCCAGTACAGCTCTTAGTTCCCAGTAGGGAAGGACAGTGGGAGGATGGAGAAATAAAGGTAAGAGTCAGAATACAGAAAGCTGAGGTCAGGTGTAGCCCTCCAAATGGGAAGAAAGGGGCTACTCAACCTCCGCAGCATGTTTATTTATATATTTGACAGGTTGATGTCACATAACACCCCACTGCCTAGCAACCTGTTTGCCTGGCAGCCTCAGGGCAATTCACATTCTTGGAGCTGGTGCAACTTGTTCACATGGCTCACCATGGGCACTCTTTGTTTTCAGGACCAGCCTAGCTCCAGCCCCATGCAAGCGATTGATCTCCAGCTTTGGCCATTCCCCACACCAACTGTTCTGGAAGAGCATTTGCCTACTCAGTGCTCATCAGCCCTTGGCTGTCCAACTCCTCCCCACCCCAGCTACTCTTGCGGAGGTCACCTGGGAACTTCTGTTAACTCTCCTCCTGGGTGAACTTTTGGCTGCCATTCCCTCCTCCAGAATTCCTGGCTCCTGGGCTTTCCCCCACACCTCCCTGGCTGTTCCTGTTCTTTTTTTCTCTGCTCCCTTTGTGAGTTGACACTCAGCTCCCTCTAGACATCTGTAGGGCTAGTGGAGGCCAGAGTAGGTTGAATGGAAGTGACAGGGTCAGATGCTTCATCTTCTTCAAATCTCAAGCAAATGCTTGAAAATTTGGCCAGTGAATGCCAGTTCTCTGCCCATTCACACAGTTAGGGCTCCTGGGAGACCAGCCCAAGGTAGGAGGTAGGCCACCATTAGTATTAACCAAGTCCCCAAATCCCAGGGGCAAGTGGTTAAGAAACCAGATTTGAGAGTAGCTCTCATTGTCCTGGGGACCTCCTATGGGCCAGGGGCACATGGACTAACAAGCCTGAAATACCCCTCTGCAGCGTTGCTTGGCCCCTTATCACCTGCAGCCTAGCCTTGCAGTCTTCTTGGTCTGCAATGACTCATGAGGAGATGAGTGGAAAGTGCTGGGCTCATGAGGACCTCAAGGAATGCACCGGTCACAGAAAACTTTGGGATTTCTGTAGCGCTTGCCTGTAAATGATGCTTTCTTAGATTTTATTCCAAAGCTAATGTCACATCCACCCCCTTGATCCTCCCTGTTGGGTTTGTCCTGAGATCCCAGCTTTCTCCTCCCAAATCCAAGCCCAGAGGCCTTGGTGTCACAAGGTTTTGGGGTCATCTGTCTTGGAATCCTGGCTTTGCTTTGGACAGTGGGTCCTCTCTGTCCCCTTCTCCTTGCAAAATAGGGCTACTGAAGGAACAAATGAGAATACGTGATGAGAGCTTTATTGGGCTGCTCACAACCCTTCTGATCCTCAGGTTCCCCGTATGGAAATGGTTGGGGCCAACACTTGGTTTATCACTGGAGCTGAAGCAGGCTCCTGAGGGCAGGGACCCAACCTCTCATCTCCATCCTGCAGCATCTTCTGGCCAAGGACACCCAGGAGGTGTTTACTGGGAAACTGGGAACTGCCATGGGAATCTCTGGAATCTGGCTGGGCCAGAGCCATTGCCACTGCCTGCAGTCCTTCTGAAGGCTCCCCTGTATACCGGAGCTGCCATCTGTGGGGTCAGGGGCCAGAGCTTACTCTTCTCTTCTTGTGTCTCAGGGAAAAGGAAAAAGCCAAAAGAGAAAAGGCACAAGAGAGTGAGAACCAGATCGCTGCCCGAGAAGTGCGGGGCCTCATGGACACCATTGGTGAGCCTTGGTCCAGCCTGGAGCACAGGTCTGTGCTGGGTAGGAGGGAGCCCTAGCCGGGATGTCTCCTGGAGTTCCTCTGACGAAGCCCCTGAAGCTCATAGTGAGATCTTCTGCTCAGCCCCTCAAGAAGGCATTCTTCTCTCAGCAACTCCCTCAAGGGTTCTCCCCTGAGCAGGGAGCTAGACAGGCACTGGGCAGTGGCCTGCACAGTGGGTACTTCCTAGGAAAAGCAGCTGGCTGAAGGATGGTGCCCACTTTCCTTGATTTCACGGTGGCATTTCTCAATCCATGTTTTCTTTCTTCCTATGACATTGTCTTAGTTTAACTTTATCCCAATATGGACTCCCTTTGTCTTTACGATTAAAAAAGTTTAAAAAAAGTAACCCACACATATTGTGGAAAGATAAAGGAGAAAAATAAAACAGAAAGTAAAACTACCCTTCAGAATAGCATCTCTTCTCTCAAGAGAGCCCCCTAACCCCACTAACCCACATGGTACCCAGTTTCCCAGATGGATGCAGGATGTGGTAGGGCCTGGGGTGGGAATGCAGGCTGCTGGGCCAGGGCCAAATCCCTGCTCAGCTACAGACTTTGCTCTTTAAACCTGGTGCCTGAGTTTCCTCACTTGTAACATGAGGCAAGTGACACTGCTGCCTCCTGGCCTCATCCTAAGCAGTAATGGAGTTAGAACAGCACCTGCTAGGTGGTAAGTACTCTGTGTGTGTTATTATTTCTACAAGGGGTCTCTGATATATGATCGTTCTACTTAACAATATTTCAGCTTCACAATTGTGCAAAAGTATACCCATGTCATATTCTAATTTCATTTTTATCCAATAGTTTTCAATAAATTACATGATAGTCAACACTTTATCACAAAATAGGCTTTATGTTAGATGATTTTACATAACCATAGGCTAAGGTAAGTGTTCTGAACACATTTAAAGTAGGGTAGGCTAGGTTATATTTGATAGTTAGATATATTAAATGAATCTTCAACTTGTTCTTGGTTTATGATAGGCTTATCTGGGTATAACACTGTTATAATTTGGAAAACATCTGTATATGTATTTGTAACTTTAAAACTTTTTTTAAAAACTTAAATTTTATAATTTCATAGACACCATTTGGAAACTCCCAGTATTTATGTATTGTTTATTTATTTTAGATCCTAGGGAATCAAACCCAGGGCCTCATGCGTGATAGGCAAGTGTTCTACCACTGAGCTATAGCCCACAGCTCTTCAGTATTTAACAGTACGCTGGAGACCTTTTCTTGCAGCAGTCAGAATCACCTGCATCTTTCCTCTTTTTGCTCGAGCCTGTGCTCTGCTGGCCTGGCTTTGAGGTCCACCTGAATTCACACCTGCTGTGCACAGCCCATACTCTGCCTTTCCTGGGAGCACTGCCCTCTTCTTGAAGCCTCACCACCTCTGTTGTTGCCCCACAGTGCCAGAGAGGACGAGTACCATCACCCTTGAAAGGCAAGAAAATCTCAAGAAGAGGAACTACGAACGCGCTCTGGCGAGCTTTCATGAGGAGATCGCGCAGATTGGAATGGTGAGGCCCAGGCCCCTCTGTTCCTGTGGCATTCTGGAGATGGGTTTGTCACTGCGTGCAGCTTCTCTTCTTGTGCTCAGCAGAGAGGCCCTCAGGGCTCCCCAAGACGGAGAGTAGATGCAGGTGGATTCATAGTAGCCATGTTTGAGCGGCTGGTTACGAGTGCTTGCTGTGAGCACAGTTCCCCTTAACTCTTGCAAAGCTCTCTTAAGTCAGGGTCTGTTACTCCATTTTGCCATGAGGCCCAGAAAATCTTGCCTGACTAGGGAGGTAAGGGGCCAAGTTGGAAAAGCACTCCAGCTTTGGTGGCCTTTGGCCTCCTGCTCAGTCTTGCTGATGAAGGGCTGCATGATGTGCCCCAGATGAATATTCTCTAAACAAGACCAGCCTTTCCTCTTCCAAGTCTCCTCTGAAGCCTGTCCCCCTAAGGCTTTTCTGACTTCAGTTGCCCTGGCTCAAAGCTAAATGTTGCCCCATCCCACCCCATCCCCAGCCTGAAGCACCACAAACAGATTCGTTAGCCATGTCCCTCAGTAGATCCCAACTAAACGCCCCCTGTATTATCACCCATGGGCTCCTTGGCTCTGGTCATGGATCCTATTTGAGCCTCTCTTTCCTTGTGTGAAATAAGCTGGGGATTCTTTCACTTGGCCACTTCTTCATTTAGTGCTGGTTGAGTGCCAACCTCCAGTCAGGCCTGATGTCAGCACCTCCTTTGCCTGACAAGAACAAGGGCACCTCTTTTGCCTTGTGACAAGAACCCACAAGAGTGAGGAAGGAGGGCTCAACCCTGGCGCATTGCCTGGTAGGTGGTGTGGGGCTGCTGTCCTGCAGGTGTGAGTTAATTAGCAATCCTTAGATCTAGGCAAAGATGACTATTTTTGAGAGGACTGTGCCTGGCACTTCCCCATTTTAGGGAGAGGGCCCTCCTGCCTGGGAATGTTGATGCTATCACCTTTCTGGCCTGTTATAGGAAATGGAACCTCTTATCTTGGAGACAGGGGAACTTTTTTTGAAAAAGCTGTCCGAGTATGATGAAGACATCAACAATCTCTTCAAAGAGGTGGAAAATGACACCGGTCTTGAGGACTATACCATCCAAGTAGGGGTTTCCTTCATGACCCGCCCTGCTCTCCCCACCCCTACTCTAGTAGCCCCCAGCCTGATCCAGGTCCCCCTATGCAGACCTTGTTGGAGCTGTGGGATAAGGTGGCTGAGATGTTCCTGGTCCAGAAACAGAACATTAAGGAACTGGATAACCAGCTGCTCTCAGTAGAGTTCTCTCGAGCAGATAAGGTGAGTTGGTGACCAGCGGGCTCCTTGGTGACTTTCATGGTTAATAGACATCTGTCTGCATCCTGTTAGTGGTCCAGCAAGTGAGAGTCACTGTAGTGCCTTGTCCCCTCTAGCTAAAGAGCGTGTTGAAGAAATATGTGGAAGTCATAGAGAAAACAACCTACCTCTTGCAGCCCGATGTGTACAGGCTGATAAATAAAGAAGCCATGGTGAGTGATTTGCTTGGGTGGAGTTCAGCCTACAGGAAAAGTAGCAGGACCCCAGGGCTCCCCAAGTCTGGGGTCTTAGGAATGCTAGGCTTCTCATCTGTGACATGTCTAAGTAACTCCAGTGGGCCATTTAAATTGGGGATTAGGTCTTTGCAATTGTAAGCATTTTCAATAGAAATCTTTGTGAAGTACATTTCACGTTTCCCTGCCACCTTAAAATGGGCACAGCTAACACGATGCTATCATTTTGAGCACTGATGATCCCACTGAGCACTTACTAAGCTGGGTCTCAGACACTGTGCCGTGCAGTAAATGCCACACTATGGAGTTATCATCTCGGGGCTTCACAGTCTCAGGGGTCTCTGTTCTCAAGCGAAATGCTCCACCTGCTCTGTCTGGTTTTCTAGTTGTTCTTCCTCTCCTCCCATGGCCATCAGTGTCTGTTGCCAAACCACACCCACCTCTTGGCTCTATCTCCTCACCCCAGGCTCCCCCAGGTGCTGTCCCCAGCAGTTGAAAGTAACAGATTCCTGGTTGTTCATGATGTCTCTAAAGCCAGAGCAAAGGCTGACTCCCTCTGCTCCATAAAGGATTCTTAGCTGCTCAGAGGTGCATTTCACTCTCAAGGGTTTTCTGGTCCTTTGCAGAGCTGAGCTGTTCAAATAACAGCTCTCCAGCAGCATAGCCAGTGTAAGGGAACACGGTATTTAGAATCACACTAGGGCCCATCCCAGGTCTGTGATGTGGTGCCCTGGACAAGCACAGGCATGGAGGGACACAGATCTCTCTCTCCATTGCCCAGCATGGAAGCTCCAGAATGACTCAGGCTTTGTGCCTTAAACTCACTTGTCCATAAAGTGGGGATGACAGTACTTACTGCTAAGACTTACTGGGAGGATGGTAACAGTGGGCTCCAAGATACATGACCGTCCTAGACTTTAGATGTCTCCATGAGAGTCAGTCTGCAGGGTCTGGATTATGCCTCAGTATTTCACTGCCATGTGCTTATTTCTCTCATTAGAACAAATAGGGGCTGGGGATTTAGCTCAGCGGCAAAGTGCCTGCCTGGCAAGCACAAGGTCGTGAGTTCAGTTCCTGGTACCGGAGAAAAAACAAAACAAAACAAAACAAAAGAACAAATAGTGCTTGCTGCTTGCTCTGTGTGCCTTTATGTCATTTGATTTCACAAAATTGCTTTACTGTGAATAGCTGTGTCCCCATACCATGGTTGAGGACCTGGAAGATGAAAAAATACTTGCTGTTATCTTCTAGTACCAAGTCCAAGCCTTGGGCTATGTTGAGAAGCAGGGCTGGGCGTTCTCCTGCTGAGCCTGGCAGGGCTCTCACTTCTCTAGAGGCTTTGGGAAATGTATGGGGGCATTTGAGGCTCTTCTGGACTCTCATGTAAAAGGGACAGGGATATGGAAGGGCAGAACAGTACACACAAGAAAGGATCGTCTTCTGTCCCATTCCTAGAGTTTCCAGGTGAGAACCACTGGGAGGGACACTGAAGAATGCTCTGATTCTGACCCCAGTAGGCCACTGGGTCTCTGTTCTCGAAGCAGTGACATGTGGCTGGTCCCTGATGCACATGCACTCTGGTTTTGGAATAAATTTGTGAAACACAGTGAACGCTTCCAGCCCACTGCAGTGCTTAGGTACTTCCACTTTCTTTATTGAATGACCCAGTGTGACCTTGGAGCTGGATTGAGGCTCATGCAGTCACGGTTATGGTTCAGCCTTCAAGCTGCTTGTCACTATCCACGGCTGCTTTCTCCTGGGCTGGCCCCTCTGGACTCCTCGGACCCTACTGCAGCTCCTCTCAGCCCTGGCCTGCCCCTTCCCTGGATCTCCAGCCTCTCTTGCCCCTCTCTCCCTGTGCCTTGCTGTGCCTCCAGAGCACCACTCCATCCAGCCCCTGTCTGCCTGTGATCACAGATCATTAACCATGCCTTACTGGGCAACCGGAGGGCCATCGCCCAGCTGTACGTCAACCTGATGGAGGCCACCCTGCGGATGGAGCTCGACAGTCGCCACCGCTGGCAGGGCCTGCTGGATTCCTGGAAGACCCTCAAGAAGGAGGTGCTGCTACAGAGTTTCAGGTCAGCAGCGCCAGCCCAGCCACAGAGCTCCCCCAGCCACTGGGCTGCAAGGGTTAAAGGCCTTCCTACTGCCTTTTCTGTCAGTGTTTAACATCCTTCTCTTTTTCTTTCTAAAGTTAGAAATAGATAAAAGTATCAAGAAGAAAGTGGAATTCACCACCAACCCCTCCCCACAGGGAGAAGCACAGCTAATATTTCAGTGCGTTATTTTTCCTCGGGTTTTTTTAGACCCATACAGTACATGCAGTTTTATATCTCATTTTTCTTCATGAACATTATTTCATAAGTATTCTTTGAAGTACAAATTGTTGGGGAAACATTCAGTTGATTTCCTGTACAATTTCCAATCTTCGTTATTATTGGTAACCTGGGGTAGTTGGGCCGAGGGGCACAGAAGTCTTTCAGGTTGATAGACTTCAGAGCAGTTTCCTCCATGGGAGGCAGGGGGAGAGAGAGCCTATCTCTGCCCTTCCCTCACCAAGCAGCATTTTTGCTGCAGATGAATGAAAAGTATACAGAGGCCTTGTTCCTCCTTGCCCTTCTGTGTGACTTTGATCAAGTCCTTGAACATTCAGAGCCTGTCTTCCTATATGAAACTCCCGGACCTGCAAAATGGTTTTAGTGCTGTACCCAGGAGACACTGTGTGGAAAGCTCTGTCTGGGTCTATGGCTGGGAGGTTGTTATAAATGCCAACAAACGTCAGCAGTGATGGCGATGGCAGGCCTATTAACTGGACTTTTCCCCTGAGCCAGGCACGGTGGGTGGTAAGGCTTTTGCTTGTGTGTCCTCACAAGCAGCAGATGAGGAGAGCGCTCTCATTAGCTCCACTTTACAGAAGCGGAGATTGAGCCTCAGAGCGGGGGAGGGACTTGTATAAGGTCACAGAGCAGGCAGGGGGCAGTCAGGATGCCTGCTGGCTCTGAGCCTGCTGGTCCTATACTATTAGTGCCATAGCCGAAGTGGCAGTCTGCCAGTTCATCCCTAGCTGTTTTCCTTCTGTCACCACCTTGCTCTTCTCCCAGGGTCCCAGAGAGGAGGCTGAGGCTAGGACTGGGTGGGGCATCCTCCCGTGCTAGGCACCCTTTAGCAAGGGCAGGGAAGCAAGGCTCTGAACATTCTTGCTGTGTGTCTCCTTTCATCTTGCTCCTGCCCTCTCTCTTCTCCCACGTGTCTGGCCACCAGTGAGTTCATGGCCAGTGAGAGTATCCAGAATCCTCCAGCCATACAGAAGGAGCTGGAGGAAATGCTGAAGACCCAGCATGCCTTGCAGCAGAAACGGGAGGAGCATCTTTGCACCATCTGGTATGGTTGCCTCTGAGGGCCCGGCGGGGAGGTGGTGTGGCCTTTGGCCTTCCCTACAAGGGTCCTCCAGAACAGGCTGTCTCGCTGTTCTCTGGACCTGGGCTGGCTACCTGGGCCCATGTTCTCAGGCATCTCAGTTCTCATGATGAGAAAGAACATAGCCTCCTTTGCTGTGGAAAGAAACCTAGTGTGGCCAAACCATAGAATGAGACAGGAGATAATGGTGGGGAGCAGCAGGCAGGGGGCAGGATTCACAGGGCTTCTGGGCCAGCACCAGGGCCAGCAGCAGGGTCAGGGGTTGGCCTTGTCCTGAAGCAGGTTGGAAGCAGGGGTCAGAGGGATCTGACACTGGAGGGCAGGAGGTCAGGGAGGAAGTTCAGACAGAGGACCTATTATAGTCTGTGGACACTTCGTTCAGAAATAGTTTTCTTTGCTAAGGAACAGCTTCTTAATATTAAATGACCCTGTGAGGCATGTCTTTAGCACCAGGAGATTTCTAACAGTTCCTTTATTTTTTTCCTTCAGTATTTAGTCAAAAATATGTAATAAATAAATAAATAAAAGATAAACAATATGCTTCTCAAAAACGTCACCGATTTTGGCAAGTAAAGGTCATGTGCATGGTGACTTCTTGTCATATCTTCCCTCTCCAGTAACCTCTTGCCCCCCAATTACAACATAGCCAAGCTGACCACATGGCAATCTTCTCTCGATGCCTTGAACAAGGAGCTTGGTGAGTGACTTTTGCGGTGCTCTCTCAGATCTCTTTAAAACTCTGTTCAAGTAGTGGCTTTAGCATAGTTCAGCCCAGCGGTCATTTATCTGAGAGGATGTGGGTGGTACCTCCATTCTGGGAAGGAAGGAGGGTTGTGGTGAGACCACTGAGCTCTGAGGACTCATATGAGACTCAGAAGATTCAATTTTTCCATCCTTTGAGGCTCACAGCAACCCACTGGGGTCAGTGATATCATTGTTCTCTTGTAATAGAGGACTGGCTGAGTCAGAAGCATTCTGGACAGATAGAGATGGGCTCCTCTGTGTGGTCCTTATCTTGGGGTGCCTGGAACTCTGAGGAGGGAGATATCAGCCCCCGCTGTGGACAGAGACCACAAGTGATCTGTGGAGATGTTTTGCCAGGGGGAAACAGCTTCCCTCTGCAAAGGGGCTACTCCTCTTCCTCCTGTTTTATTTTCTGTGCCTGGAGACATGTACCACATGGACTGCATGATGCGGATCCGCTTGCTGTATGAAAAGACATGGCAGGAGTGCCTGGCCCAAGTGCAGAATTGCAAGGTGGGCATCCTCCTGCAGGCCTGAAGAGGAACTACACCTGGGCCCTAATGTGCCCCCTCCCCAGCTGCCCTCCTGGATATCCTTTAGCCTTGACCCTGACTTTTGTTCCTTCCTCCCAGGCCCTAGCATTCACCAGCTTCTGGTTCTGTTCCCTCTGCCCGGGCCCCTCCTCAGCTGTCCCTGGTGTCCCTCAGGGCTTAGCTCAATGCCACCTCCTCCAGGAAGTCCACTGTGAGTTGTGTGCTCGAGGCTTCCTTAGACTTCACCCTTAACTGTCTGTGTCCTGCCTACCTCTGGCCTTGCTCATTAGTGGAGGGTGACGCTTGGAGATCACTACAATGCCCTTTTTCGGCCCCTTGCTGTCCTGACCCACCTCTCTATCCTGCCTATCTTGAGACAGTGAGTTTACTTCTGAACCCCTCCAGAACAGTGACTGGTTTTCGGAGACAGGGGGAATATTTTGTCAGAACATGCCCTCCCTGTCTTCTTGGTAAAACTGTTTAGGTGAAAACTGCACAAAAGCCTCATTTTGAAGAATGCCTGAGCCCTGAGGGCCCCACCTACTACCCCTGGCGCTCCTGCTGTTCCTGAGTGCCTGCAGCCACCTTTGCACTGCCATTTGGCCTCAAGGGAGCAGAATCCGTAGAAGCTCCTGTACACCTTGCAGCTGGGTGGGGGCCCTGTAGGGTGCAGGTGCAGTTTATACCCAGGGTGTCTACAGCCCTAAGCGGCACTCAGCCTTGTTCCCTGCCTCCCTAGAAGCAGCTGTTGGACTGGAAGGCCTTCACCGAGGCAGAGGCTGAGAACCTGGTGAGCCAGACCTTCCAGACAGTGGGTGCACTCCAGAGCAAGATGGAAGAGGAGCTGGAGCTCCTGGATGTGCGTGAACAGTTGGGACCCTCGAGGTGTGGTGATCTTCCTGGGCTGCTGGGCCACAAGGACAGTGGAGGACTGGGGGCCTCTACCTTGCATGGCTCTGGTGTGTCTACTTCCTGGCTCTCAGCTGCCCGTCTCAGAGCAGACCTCCTGTGTTGGTCTCTCCATACTCATCCCCCAACTCCTTGAGCCATACCTGACATGGGTGCTGCACAGATTCTAAGGAGGTGGTCAATCTCAGGACAGGAGGGCACCTTGCTGCCCCTTGGTACAGAGAGCTACAGATTAGGAAGAAGCCCCCGCCCCAAGAGGCCTGTAATCTTGAGCCAAGGGCAACAAACATTTTCTGTGGAGCACTGGATAGTGGCTATCTTAGGCTCAGAGGGCCATCAGGTCTCTGTCAGAAGTTGTCCAGCTTTGTTTCCTGTAGAAACAGAGGGTGTGGCTATGTTCCAATAACTATTGATATACAGTGGAATTTGAACATCATACAATCTTCACATCAGTATTTTAAAAATTTTGTTTTCAGCCATACCAAACTAGAAAATCAGGGTTAATTTCACAGGTCCAAACAAAAACAGGTGGAGGGCCGCACTTAGCCTCAGACTACAATTTGTCAACCCCTGACCCAGATGAGGGCATAGGAGGTGAGATGGTGCATGAGGATTTAGCCGCAAATGTGATGTTCGGCCCAGACCTGTGAGACAGGGAATTCTAGAGAGGGAAGATGTCCAGGCCAAGATGGGTATGGTAACGCTACCCCAAGGAGGGAGGGCCAGAGGCTCAGGTGTGGCCCAGATGGTGACCTTGAAGGTGGTGCCTGGGCAATGACTTTAAGGTCTTAGAAACATGGGGCCTCATGAATGGGCCCTCTTATTGGCCCTGTACTGGTCAACCCTCAACCACACACCCTTTCCTTGGTTCTGCCACTGCAGAATTCCTTTGAAGCCTTGGCCAAGCAGACAGAGTGGCAGAGCTCAGACCTCTTCAGGTACTTCCAGGAGGCTGTGCGGCTGTGGGAGGCGCACCAGAGCATACTGTCACAGCAGGAGCTGGAGCTCGAGAAGAGGATGGAACAGTACAGGCAGAGGCACAACCTGGAGAACCAGGTGCCCCCAACCCCTGGGGAGCCTTAAGAGGAATGAGGGATGGGTCACTCTCAGACTGCCAGCTGCCTCAGGTCAGGACAGTGAACTCAGTCAGCATTCAGATGCAAACAAAACAAACCCATGTAAACAAAAACATTAATTCAAAATAGATCCTAGATACAAACATAAAACCTTGAGTTACAAAATGTGTACCAATGGGGATATTGACTTACCTGGATTATGGGACCAGGTGTGAGTAGCAAAAATCTTGACCCACATCATAGCCATGTGATGGGTCTTCAGAACCGATTCTGTCTGTAAGAGTGTACATGATAGAGACAGACAGACAGACTAAACCGGGAGCCTTCTGGATGGTCAAAATAAGGAAATGATCAAAGCATGACTTCATGAATCACAGTTTGCTGTCATACAAGGAGCGTTTCAATTCACAGTATTTCAGAATGACATGAACCAATCACAGGGAGCACACTTGATAGGTGAGGATCATTGACTCCATGGTGAATGCATTCCAGAATTAGTTACATCTAATTGTTCAAATCAATGGAATAAAGTCGAAATAAAGATTGAGGTATACCTTTTTCACAAGCAGTTTCATCAGAGAAACTGGCTTGACCTTAGCCCAGCAGGGAAGGTCTCTTGATGTGAGAGGCAAGGCCAGTAGTGGCTGATAACTTTAAAGCTTCAAGGCCTGTCCCAGCTTGAGCTCTCCTTGTCCAGATGACAGTGAAAACAGCCACAGCCTGAGCTTTCAAAGTGGGTGCCAAACTTTCAAGTTTAGATGCATGTTGAAGTCCAGCAATTTAGGTCAGTAATTCATATATAGGGCCTGATAAGATATGACAGAAGTGATGTGACATGAGGGGTGGGGGAGTGTTCCCTATTACATTCCCAAGGGGAGAAGGAATAGCTCCAACTTCTCACAAATGGGGTCTGGTAAGACATCATATTCTCTAAGGTGTGTGGTGGCAGTGTACTCCAAGTTCATAACACAGCAAAGCACATTATTCACATAGCAGACCGTGTAAGTGTTTAGTATTTTTTCAAGGATATATAATGAAGGAATGAAGTATCACCATCCCCCACAGATCAGCTGGCCCCTGTCCTCACAAACCAGGGTGAAGGGAGTCTACACTCAGCATGTGACTTTGAGTAAGACTAGGGAGAAGGTGAGAGAGGAGCTGGTATCTCTGGAATGGCTTGGCCAGGCAGGGTATAAGGGACATGTTCCTGAAGAGTCCCATTTAAGCTAGATACCTGGGGAGTAAATTATGCAGGGAAGAATATTCCAGGCACAGAGGAAAAACCCAGAAACCTATAGTGAAGACAGTGATGGGCATAGCAGATTTATTGCCCTTCTGTTTTGCAGGAAAGTGAGCCCCAGGCCTATCCCAACTGCCTGGACTTTAGATTCAATGTCAGGATCGCTTCATGTCACTTAAACTCTGAAAGCATAGGGAACTCATATGCTTCTTGTTTTGGGGTTGGCTTCTAGGCCCAGGAGCTACACTTTGATAAGCTCTTAGACCAACTGAGGCAGCAAAGCCAGGAAGAAACACTGAAGGTATGCCTGGAAAAGGCCAAAAATTTTCTGAAGAACATGAAATCCAGGTAGGTTGACCAGCCCTGAAAGAGAGAAGGGATGGCCTGGATTCATATTCAGGGTCACAAGCAGCCTGCAATGGAGCGTGGGGTGTGCCCAGCAAGCTGAAGATGAAACTGTGCCTCCAGCATTGGAGGATATCACTGTCCTTTGCACTCTGCTTGCAACCAACACTGAAACATCCAGAGATAATTTTGGAAGGTTTGTAGAAGTTTCAAGGCAATGTAGTTTAAAAGTCAAGAACTTAGACTTTCTTTTTAAAATTTAAACATGCACGCTGTATTAAAGGATTGAAAGTCAGCTACTAGAGATATTTTCCCCTCATTTCTGTCCAACTATCCTTTGTTTATGGACATACTCATTTATATGTGTGGATATATATGCATATATAGTGTTTTTAAAATAAGGGATAGCTTATACTGTGCCAGTTCTATAACTGCAGATATATTTCAATTTTAAGTGGTCATATAAAATTTATTAATATAGATAACTTCATAATGATTTAATATCTCAATTAATTAGCTCTTTCAACTGGCTCCAATTTCTCAGTACTGTATTATAAATAGTTCTCTGTGAATTTACTTGTGTCTTTGCACCTTTGTACAACTATTTCTGAAGGACAATTCACAGAAATGGAATTACACTCTAGTTTATTACAGTACTTACTTATATCCAGAAGTAAAATTTGGGGCAAGTAAGTAACCTACTGAGCCTTGGTCTCCTTACCTGAGAATTGTAAAATATTGGGCCTTGGGGCATTTGAGAGTTTGATGGGATAATACAGGTGAAGTTCAAGCGTAAGATTCCACCAATGGGAATTGGTGGAAAAGGAAGCCTGCATCAAAGTAGATAGTTTTGTATGTGTGGTTTCTAAATTTTCCACCAACAGTATATATTCCTTGTATGATCAGAAAAATAGCAGACAAACAAAGGACTGTCTCTGTGAAAGAAACTCCCTCACAGCAGCTCTATGTAGTGCTGATTGCCAGGTGTCAGTCCACCCGTTTAGTGTCTAGGGTTGGCTCCAAGCCGAGGTCTCCTACACTGCACCGAGAACCCCCACTCCGAGACAGCATCTTACCTCCCTCCCTCCTAGGTATGAGTATGCTCATGTCCTCCTGACCAAGGAAGTGATGGAGTACCCAGAGATCATACTGAAAGAACTCAACTCCTACAGCTCCAACCTCAGCCAACATTTCTTCGTTCGTGAAATCTTTCAACAGGTATGGAGAGGCACTCGATACCCCCAACCACACATGAAGAAGCAGAGCAGAGGGTGACTTCTCATTTGATCTGCCAAGACACTGGAAGTCATTCCTGAGGCTGCAGAGTACAAATCCATGTCAGGACATCAAGGAGAGAGAGACTGAAAAGAGACCATCTCCTTCTCACTCTAAAGGAGATTGATAGGCTCCAAGCTTTAATGGGCTGACAGTAAAAAAGCTAATTTATATGGCATTTGGAGCTAAATGCATCATATCTGCCACACAATTCTCCTAAAATTGAACTCTGACCTACTCACTCTGTTCAGAAGTCCCTCACCAATCTGCAGCCCCCACCAAATCCAAAACACCATCTCTAGGTATGCATAGAGACCCCACATCTTCTGCTTCCACCTTGACTCCCCTGGCTTAGGCTACTCATCCCCCTCCCTGCACATAACCCCTGCCTGTGACCCTTCCTCATCCTGTTCTCTCTGCTGCTATCTTCTCCACATACAGCCCATAACCCCGATTCCTAGTCTACTACCAGGGGTGAGGGTCCCACTCAGCCTGAGCACTTGCCGCATCATCTCACCACCTGCCACCACTTCAGCCTCTGAACTTGTTTGTTCTCAGTTGCTGTCAAATACAGGAGTTCAGAACACTCAACTAGAATGTCTTTCCTAAAGGACAAATATGCCTTAATAATTTTTATTCAACTTTAGTTACCCCTAGTACAGGATCTACATATAATTCTGACACAATAAATGCTCTATGGGTAAGTACACAATTCCATGGAATGTGCTGGTTTGAATACCCAGAGTTTGACCCTCTTTCCACAAACATAGCCAGGGTCCTTCCTGTCCAGACTGAAAATGCTTGTTGCTGACATTGTTTGGTTGAGTTCTTCTCACACATGTGGCACCAACCTGGCACCAACCTGGAGAATCTCTTCCTTGGAAGGGATCCCTGTTCAGGTAGCTAAATAATGCTCCTCATGACTCTGGGAAAGAGAGGCAGGCTCAACCTACAGGAGGGTGAGCTCATTGTCTGTCTTTTGAGATCATCCTTCTTGCCTGGGTAAAAGGTATGGTGGACCTTTATGTGATCCCCATCTCACAGAAGAGGACACTAGGGATTAAAGGACTTGCCCAAGGTCACTCCATTTGTAAGGAGCTAGAATTCAAATCTGGACAGGCAAACTCCAGACCACACTGTCCTGAACAATTTCACCCAGAGTCTGTGAAACAAGGGATGTGTTGAGTGACTAGGGAGACTCCCAGGATCTGTAAGTCGGGCTCTCTCTGTCCCCATCCAGCAACCAGTACAACACATTCCTACCCTTTGTTTGCACTCCTCAATTCATATTTTTCTCTTTGCTCTAGATTGATAGAACAATGTGTCAACATGAGGTTTTATTCCATTACTGCTCCATGTGTTCTGTAAGGAGTGTGTTAGCCTGGTTGCAATTAAGGAAAGCCACCTCCTTGGGTTAGAAACACCCAGTTACCCCAATGAGTGAAGCTGGCCGAGGCTGCAAGATATATTGAAGGGGAGGGGAGAGTCCTTTCATTTAAAAATGACACCCTCAGAAGTGGCACTCTGGGGAAGGGCAGTGCTGGTGCCTTAGTAACTCCCATTTTTCTCTTGTAGAACGTGCTTGGGGAAGTCAGCTTCAAAGTCAGGGAGCAAGGTAACACTTTCACCATTCAAGTCCAGTTCTCTGTGACTTCATTCCTGTACATCTCTGGGTTGGGGGCCCCACCCAGGCAGCGCTGATAACTTCTCTCCTTGTGCTTTGGTGCTGGTCACGGACAGAGGTATATGAAAAGCACTACCTGAAGAGGATGAGGAAACTGAAGAAGAGACAAAGGGCTAAAGCAGAAATGAAGAGAAGTGAGGAAAGCATAGGCAGAAGGTTGGATTCTGCAAGACCAATGGAAGAGATGGAAGAAGAAAAAGGTCGAGAAATGGTGTCCTCTGGAACTGAAGGGGGTCTGAGCCAGGGGATCAGATCTGTCCAGGGTGACCAGTTGGATGAGTCCAGAGTGGGCTCTGTGCAACCATCAGAAGAAATGCAGAGTGAAAGAGAGAGCTCCTCAAAAGCATCCCTGAGCCTGGAAAATGTGACAGTTCAAGAAGAGAAGGTGGAGGAGGTAGAAGAGGAGGAGGAAGAAGCAGAGGAGGAGGAGGAAGAAGCAGAGGAAAAGAATGAAGGGGAAAAGGCAAATGAGGAGGAGGAAAAGGCAGAGGAAAAGCAGGAGACTTCCTCTGTGGCTGAGGTAGGCCAGCCACTGGCTCATTCTTGCGGGTGGAGAGAGTTGGCTATGTCCATTCTATGTCCAGTCTCCACTGAAGTGCGTATTAGGATGACAGAGAGATCCAATTCTTCATCCACAACAATAATTTCTAAAATTCACTTTCCTCTCCTCACATCCCTGCAATCAACACTGAATCACCCCTCAACTGCACGGCTTTCCTTACCTCTCTTGGGCCTCTTTCTTTCTCAGCTGCTCTTTATTATACAGATCAAGTCAGACTGTACAGCCAGCCATTTTGCAGTCCTAGTTAAAAATGTCACGTGGGGCTGCAGGCTCAGAACTAATACCTTTTCTGATTTCTTTAGGGAAACTGGGAACCCAAAATTTTACATGGAACTTCTTAATTTTAAAAGGGCTGTGGACTGGGGATTAGGGGAACAGTTACAGGCAAGATTTGCCCCACAGATTTATAATCACTTGATGTCAGGTGGTCAGCATTCCAAGTTCCTTGGATGATATTGACTCCTATGTCTTGTTATCTGCTTAGACTGAAGTTCCAGATGAAAGTATGGAGGAGATCTTCTATGACGACATGGAGTCCTTCACCACCTCCAGTGGAAATACTTACTTTGTCCTCGTATCTCTGGAAAAAGAGGAGAGTTGCAAGAGGCCCCATTCCAACTGCTCAGCCATACTCATGAACAACACCTCCAGCACAAAGTTCATAGAACAAGTAATAATTCCATCTGGACTAGTTTTAGAAATTAAGAAACAGTGAGTACAAAATTCTTTTGTTCTCATTCATTTGCTCTGAGCTATATTCATAAGATAAATTACAACAAAAAATTAGTTTGGGCTGGAAAAAATTTAAATGTAGATGTTATGGTTTATGTTTAGATATTCCCTCAAAGCTTCACACAGTCATAGGGTTTTTTGGGAGTGGTTGAATCTAGAGTGTGTGACTGATTTGCAGTACAATGCTGGGATTAAAAGGGTGGGTGATTGCTGGATCAGTCCACAGACTGGATTGGCACCACCCTGATCCTGGCAGACTGGATATAACATAAGGAACAGAAAGAGGCTTGTATCTCTTTCCATGGTTGCTTTTGCTGTCTTCCGCCATGAACTGTTGCCCCTCTGCCATGCCACCCTGCGTTGGAGCCAGCTGATTATGGACTAAAACCTCCACAAACTGTGAGCTAAATAAACCTTTCCTCCTTTAATTTTGGGTATCAGGTATTTTGTCTCGGCAAGGAGGATAGTACCTAAATCAGTAGGTAATTAACAAAATAACAAATGTCCAGGAATTATTTGTAGTCATTGGTATCCTGGGTGAGAGCACCCCCTGCACCCTTCCCAGGGTGCTCTGCTGGTGCGGCCCTTGCACACAAAAACACTGTCTTCCCTGCCAGATGCTCCTGGGTTCTGGTTCTTGGAACATCTGTGCTTTTAGGGTTTCTTTTCTTTTTTTTAATTCTATAGATGTAAATCACATCAGGTATGGTATTTTGCACTAATTGATATACTTGTTGCAGAAAATAGAAAAAGAACAATGAAGAATAAAGATATCCATAATCATTTGAGCATTTATCTCCCCTAACTCCCAAGCTTCTGGACTTTTTGTTAGTTTGGGCCAAACATGGAAATTGCATTTGACATTTGAGTGGCATTTTTATTGCCCTCCTGCCACTATGAGAATTAATAGGCTTGTGGTCACCTTTACAGGCCAAGGACAAGGAGTAGAAGGATTAAAGTCTAGCCTCTGGGCTCTTGCTCGTATACCTCAGTGTCATCTCACTGCTAAACTGTCTCTTGACTCAAATGCTTGTCCTTCCTCCACCATAGGCCAGCATGTTTCCTCTCCTTAGCCCTTAGGACAAAGACAGCAAGGATCACCACGACAGCTGCTATTTATTGAGTGTAATCCCCTCACTGTGAGTTAACTCCATTTTACAAAATGAAAGCACTGAAGCTCAGAGTGTTAGTCATTTGGCCACAACCTTCAAGATAAGAAGGTTGACTCCAAGCTATGAATGTAAACCCTGTAATTCTAGAACCTGGTATCAACTACTGTGCCATCTGACACTGTGACTAACCGCAACATGTTCTGTGTGCAGTTGATTCGATTTTCATGTTGAAGTAAGACATACATACTTGAAAGTATGGGAATCAAAAGTGTTTAGCATTTGAATTGGCCAAAGGAAACACATTTGGTACTCAGAACCCGTGAGAAACAGAACCATTAACCACCCTTCCAAGATGCCACCTCATGTGGCCATGCACATAACTGCCCTTCTTTCCCCAGGGATAAATACACTAACTCCTGAGTTCATTTTGCTTGTTTTTTTTGGTGCTGGGCATTGAACTTGGGACGTTGTGCTTGCCAGGCAAGTGCTTTTACCCCTGAGCTATATCCCCAGCCCCATTTTGGTTGGTTTTGAACTTCATTTAAAGATATCCAGAACTTACTCTTTTATGCCAGGCTTCTTTCACAATGTTTATAAGATTCATATATATTCTTGAATGTGGCTAACAGTTCATTTTTAATTTTTGTATGGTATCCTATTATGGAAATATATAATCTATTTAATTTTACTTATCCATTCTACGGATGTACATTTTGGCCTTTTCCAGTTTGAGGGTGTGCCAACAATGCTGCTCTAAATATTCTTGTAGAAGTCTTTTGGTGAACATATATATACATTTCTGTCACCCATATAACTAAGAGCGGCGTTGTTGAGTCATGGAACATGTGCATGTCCATCTTTAGGAGATACGGTCAAAAGATACTACCAAAGAGTTTTCAAAGGAAGTTTAACAGTTTATAACACTGTATGAGCATTCCAGTTGGTTCATATCCTCAACAACAGGTGATATTGTCAATGACTTTTAGTTCAGCCATCCCGGTGTAATTTCAGTGGGTCCTGTTGTGGGTTTACTTAGGGGAACAGTTACAGACAAGATTTGCCCCGCAGATCTACAATCACTTGATGTCAAGTGGTCAGCATTCACTGATGTCGATGTAATGTAATGATGTCAGTGTTGTGTACCTTTTCATATACTTGTTGGCCATTTGGGTAGTTTTTGGCTGTGTGTGTGTGTGATTCTGAGTGAAATCTTCTGTTTATTTTTTTCTAGAGGATTGTCTGTCTTTTTATTAATTTATGTGAGTTCATTATATCTCCTATGTAAAGCTTTTGTTAGATAAATATATGTCAAGTGTTCATCTCCTGTCTGAGCTTGCTGTTTTTACTCTTTTTAAAGGTATCTTTTGATAAAGTTATTTTTTAATTTATTTATTTATTGGTTTACCTCATGTATTTTCTATTTTTAAAACCTGAGTGAACTTAGAATATATTAGTAGACCATGACTCCTCGGAAAGAATTTCTTACTTTTAATAAGGTCCAACTTGTCAATTCTGTCATTAGAGTAAGTTTACTTTGTGTTTGGTCTATGATTTTTTTTTTTTTGGCTTGCCCAAGGTCATAAAAATATTCTCCAATATTACATATCTGAAATGTTACTTTTAAAAAAATTCCCCCCCAGTATTTGAAATGTTATTATTTTAAACTTCCATATTTAGATATAAAAATTGGAATGATTTTTGTTTATGACATGATGTAGCAGTGAAGATTCATTTCTTTCCCGTACAGAGAACCAGTGGACCCTAGGCCACTTGCTGATATACTGTCTTCCCCCCCAGTGCCTTTTTTCTATTTCCCTGTGTCTACCCTTGAACAACTACCTCACACTGACTGATTACTGCAGCTCTATCCTGTGTCTTAATATCTGGTAGGTTAATTCTTCCAGCTTTGATCTTCTCCAAGATTGTCTTCACCATTCTTGACCCTTCATATTTTCTATGAATGTCAAAATCAACTTATCAGCTTCCATAAGAAGACATCTGCTGTGATTTTCTTGTTATTGAATTAAATCTATTTTAAAGGATGACACGATAAGTTAGGAAACAATATTTGCAATTCACATCAAGGTCAGTGGGCCTCATGTAGAGATTAATATAAAAAAGAGCAACTATAGAATAAAGGCAAAAGACATTAGTGAAGAGTACACAGAAAGAGAACTTGAATGCATGTAAGTTGCACCATCAAAACATGACAAAATTGTCGAATTAAAAAATGTGATAACATAGTCTGAGGCTGTGAAGAAACAGGAACTATTATTTTTTTCTGATGGGAATACAGGTTGCCCTCCAGTGGAAACAATTTAGCCATATCTACCAGAACCACAAATGTATTTTAGTTTTTGATTCAGCAAATCAAATTGAGGGCCAAATTCCATAGAAACACCTCTAAACTTAGCAAAAATACAAGGCTACTCATCAAACCCTTCTTTGCAGGAACAAAATGTCAGAAACTACTCAAAGTCCTCCAGCAGTGATCTAGGTAAATACTGATCATCCCCCCACACAATGAGCTACAAGATAATTAGGGAATAAAATGAGGAAGAATGTATGAAAGGAGGAAGCACTTTGCATCTCAGTGTTGGAAGGTCTCTTAGAAGTCACAGTTCCTGGCAGGGCTGACCCTTGCTGGTTTCTCCTGCAGACTTCGAGCTGGCTTTTTTGAACACCTCGAGAAGTGGTTTGCTCAATGTGCTCTCGATGCCCGGGCTATCATGGCCACCAAGATCAGTGAACTGGATTCAGAACTGGAGCTGCGTCTACACCTGCACAAGCCAAGAGTCCAGCACGTAGAGAAGGACATCCACAACGTCAGGGCAGGTGTGGGCCCCCTGGGGAAGCCCATCACCCCCAGTTTTCTCCTGCAGGGTCTGGAGAAGACCCTGTACAGCCCTCTGTAGCCTCATGTTTATTAGCTGCCCCAGGAAATGCTTCATATATTATCATCACAGGTGGAAGGTGTACCTTAGTACTGGCACTTCCCAGGCTTGCAGAGGAGGGTAGTACTCACATTCTTCTTTTGAGACTTTTTAAAATCACCTTCTTCTTTTTTTTTTAAAGAGGGTGTTGGAGGGTGAAATGAGTGTTATCCAGTTTTAGCTCTAGATTTGAGATCAGATATACACCCTTATGCTGGATGCTCTGGAGGCAAGCCTATTGTTCAGAGACCAGAGTCCTCAGGCTCAACTCTGGATGTATAACTGAGCAGATTATCTGACCTCTCTGGTGCCTCCCTTATCTGCAGAAGGGGGAGTTGGAGGTGGTAATTAACCCTCCTGAAATGACATAGTAAAGAACCATGGGCACCTGGTACAAGACACAGCTTCCAAAAACAATAACCATTATCTCCACCTTATCATTTATCATACTTAAAAAGACATGCCGTTCTGTCTTCAGTGGTAGGCTCCGTTCACTGGAGGAGGGGCATGATTTTAGTAGGATCTTTCAGTGAGTCCTGTTGGTTTTTCACTTGAATCGTGCTCTAACATCTGCCACAGAGCTAGAGTCCCCTTCAGAGTAGCAGAGAGCCCTCACATAAACCAAACTCATGTTGCCCACAGCAGTGACAGTTGTACAGTCAAACTGGCCTCAAATCTCAATGCTGTAACCTTGGGCAGTTTGCCTGACATTTGGAACCTCTTTGTCCTCACAGGACATTAAATGCACAGTGCAGGGCCAGGGATATAGTTCAGTGGCATAGCGCCTGCTTGGCAAGTGCAGGGTCCTGAATTTGATTCCCTGTTTAATAAAATAAAATAAAATAAATTTAAAATGTGCACTGCATTAAATGCAATGAAGAAATAGAGAGAAAATTGCATATGCACTGAGGGAGCAGAACTCCCTGAAGGCTGGTTCTTTTTCCTTCCCCCGCTCCCTGGCCCAATATATGGTATAGAAACCAACCGGGCTACAGAGATGAATTCCAGTGGCACATCATGTTTTTGGCAGAGCTGGGACTACAGTACTTCACATTCTTCTTTTGAGACTTCTTTTGAGACATTCTTCTTTTGACTCTTTTTTTTGTGGGGGGGGCCATGGGGGGTTTTCCAGTACTGGAAATCGAACTTATGACCTTGCACTTGCCAGGCAGGCCCTGTGCTGCTGAGCTAAATCCCCAGCCCCTGACTACAGTACTTCTAATGCCACAGACAACAGGGGGACCCAGGGGCTTTCTGCTTGCCCTAAGAGGCTGTGATGGGGCTATGGGAGCCAGTTCTTTTTCTTTCTATTCCATCTTGGAAGCCAGTTAGAACTCAGGCTCACTGGACCTGAGAATCCGCTGATGTAAGGAACAAACCCAGACTGCTTGGCTTTGTGCTTCTTGTGGCTCTCCACCCAGACCCTCTCACCTAGGTCTGAGCCCACTCCTGCACCACCCACTCATCTTCCCCTGCTCCCTGGGGACTCTGCATCTCCCCAGTTTTGTTCTGTCTGCAGCAGGCAAGGGTCTCTATCAGTAGGGAGCTCCCTATCTACAGCCTAGCAGAGGCTTCTCTCTACTTAGAGACCCAGGGCCAGGCTCTGGTTGCTGTCTCCGAGGTCACAGCCCATTCCAAGCTTGGTGATGGTGGTGGTGGCAGGGCAAGAGCTGTTGACCTGAGTGGTCCCTGCTCTGTGGCTGGCCCAGGAGAGGTAGCGGGCAGGCACTGCTGCAAGAAGTGACTGTGCAGAGATGAGTCAGGTCCTGGCGGGCCTCAGCTCTCCTCACTTTCTTGCAGCTGAGCTCTTGCTTCACAAAGAACGGTTGGACAGACACTGTGCTGGAGTGGTGGAGACCCTAAAGAAGGAGAGGCTGATGTTCTGCCAGTTCCAAGAAGAGCAAAACACGAAGAGCAAAATCTTTCACCGCAAGATCTATGACATGGAGCACATCTTCCTGAATGCCACCAAGAGCCAAAAGTAAGGGGCCAGGGGTCTCCCTCCCAGCCAGGTAGTCCTAGAAGCCTACCCAGGTGCTGCTAGCAAAAGAGCAGAAGGCACTCAGGAGCCTGCTTTTGAGCTAACCTCTTCACAAGAATCTAGACTCAAAATCTGTGGGCAGCATCTGGTGTATGTGTTGCGGGGAGCAGTGAGCAGCAAGGAGAAGGAGACTCCTTACAGTCGAGGTGCACGAGTGCAGACGATGTGCCTTCAGATGTCATGTCAGTGGTAGGAAAGACCACTTCTCCTCTGGGGAGCCAGGAAGGGCTTCCTGCAGGAGATGGTATTTGCCTTGAACCCAGAGGCACCCTGATCTGGGATGGAGGGAAGTATCAGGGATGCATTTTCTAAGCAGAGCAGGAGCACTGGCTAAGCTATGGGTCAGGGCAAAGCAAGGGGCTCCAGGGAGGCCACTCGGGTATGAGATAGAAGCCACAGTCGGGTCACAGGAAAGACCCTGGCAGATGTCTGTGCAGCTCTCAGGTACACAAAGGACATCTACTCAGGAAAACTTGGTTGTAAAGAGGAATCTTGCAGGGTACTTTTTCAGGAAAGTGGGGAAAACACATTACTGGGGGTCAGAGGGAATCTGCTGGAGGAAGGACAAGAATCCAGTTGCACCTAGAATTCTTCTACCAGTTCGGTGGAAGTGGTCAGAGGGAGGAGAACAATGCCCTCTCAGAGACACATGGTCATTTTAAATTTCTTTCTAGTGCCCTTTGCTACCCAGAGAAGCTGGGCAGTGGTTCTATTGGGCCCCCAGCTTTGCACTGTGTGTGGAGTTTAAGCAGTGTCCCAGGAAGCCCACCCACACCCCAGTCACCGCCTAGCCTCTCAAGTCTTCCAACCTGGTCACCATCACCATCTGTTCCTCCTCTACTTGCCCCCCACAGGCTGGTCCTTCTCAGCAGCACACTGCACCGGGAGCTGCTGAGCTACGTGGATGTCACCCAGGTATCCCTGCGCAGCTTTCGACAGTACTTGGAGGAAAGCCTCGGCAAACTCCGCTACACCAACATTGAATTTGTCAAGCACTGCAGGTGGGAGCCAGTACTCAGGCCTCTGAGCTTCCAAGGCTTCTCTACTGTGAGGTGGTCTTATTTCTCCCTTAACTTTTCTTTGTTAGATATGTACAAAACATAAAATTTACCATTTGGACCATTTAGATGTACAGTTCAGTGCCATTAAGTACAATGTTATGCTACCATCACCACCCAGCCATCTCTAGAAAGAACTTCTCATCTAACTCTCTGTGATAACATGCTGACGCCTCATCTCCCCCCAACCCCAGGCATCCACCACTTTACTTTCTGTTTATATGAATTGGCCTACTCCAGTTACCTGTTTTAAGAGGTATAATATATATTATATATTATATATATTATATCATATATATTATAAGCATATAATATTTGTCCTTTTATATCTGGTTATTTCATTGAGCACATATAATGTCTTAAAGGCCTAACCATGTTGTATCATGCATCAAAATTATCTTTCTGTTTGAGGCTGAATAATACTCCATTGTACATATATACCACACATTGTCTATTTTCATACTGGTGGGTAGTGGGGTTGTTTCTGCCTTTGGACTATTGTGAATAATGGTGTGAGGAACATTGGTGTGTAAATAATCTGCTTAAGGCTTGCTTTCAATTTTTTGGGAGTATATTCCTAGAGCAGAACAGCTGGCCCAGGTCGCAATTTCTCAAGTTTTTAAGGAACCATCATACTATTTTCCACAGCAGCTGCACCATTTCACATTCACACTAGCAATGCACAAGAGTTCTAGTTTCTCTACGTCTTTACCAACACTCGTATTTTCTTTCTCTTTATAGTAACTATTTTAACAGACATGAAGTGGTATCATGTTGCAGTTTTTATTTATATTACCCTAGTTGTTAATGTCATGTGTTTTCTGTGTTCTATTGGCTGCTTTCCCACCTTATTTTTCTCCCATGATCTTAACTCACTCCTGCACAAAAATGATCTTGTATTTAGTCTTTGACATTTGCAATAGGCTATATTTGGGGAGTTTTTTTAAAAGCTTATATTGTTTTAAAAATTAAAAATCTTTTACTCATTATAGCATAATTGAACATAAAAATATACAAAGTAAAAATTGGAAACCCTCTCCAAATAAATTAACTATGTGGTATACATAAGCAAAAAAAGTTATTAGTTTTCTTTTTTTTTTTGGACCAGGAATCAAACCCAGAACTGCACACTTGCAAGGCAGGCAGTGTGCCCTGGAGCTACATCCCCAGCCCAATTGTTAGTTTTATAAAGAAATGGAATCCTAGGATACATGTTGGGCATCAGCCTCCACCACTGCCAGCAAACACCTTCCATGCTGGTACCTGCAAGACTTGCATTTGTTTTAAATATTCCTAACATTTTCTAATTATAAATGTAGTTGTTTAAAATGAAAATTTGGAAAGTTGCAAAAATTAAGATTAGCGTTTGGCATATGCAGGGTGCCTTTGTCCTGCATATCTCTGTGTCACTCTAGCACTTTCCAGTCCCATTCTGGTTGATTTCTTCCTATTGTTTTTCCTAGTCACCGATTCCCTCATTGTTGTGTTTAATTTCCTGACAAACTATTCATTGAGGGTATTTAATCTTAATTATTATAGTTTCCATTTCTATTTGTATTTGATTCTTTTCCCAAACTGGTTGTTCCCTGTTATATTTTTAGCTTCTCATTTATTTCCTTAAACATCCCATACTTGGTTATTTTATAATTTATGTCAGATAATTCTAAAGTCTGAGGTCTTTAGAGGGGCACTGCTTCTATTCCCTGTTACTTTTCTGGTTCTCATTCACAGCATCTTGCTTCTTTGTGATTCATTTTTTATTATGGGTCACTCATTTTCCTTGGGATTTTATTGTGGCATGCCTTGAGGCCTAGACTCACATGGAGTTCCTTTAGAGAGAATTCTTGTTTCTGCTGCGAAGCTGAAGCCATAACCAATTTAGGACCAACTAAAAAATCTCTATTTAAATGAGACTTCTGGGAAGATGGCAGAGTGGTAAGCAGCAGAGAAAGAGCCTCTCTGAGGTTTGATATCCAGACACTAAAATATAGCAATGCAAGGAAGAAAAAAATGAGGGACGTGTTTCCTTTGGACCCAGGAAGGATTTGAAGTGAGAATTGAAGCCTATGGGGAGAACGAAGAGAGAAACTTCAACATAGCAGGAGGAGGATGCAGGCAGCACCTTTTCCTGGAGTTGGGACTCACTCTGTGGGAGGAGCAGTTCAAACCTGCAGACGCACAGTGACTGGTGGCAATCCCAGAGGCCACCACAGAGAGACGCAGCAGTAAAAGGAACAGTGGATGTGGAAGACTGCACCAGCTGGTGGTCAGTGCTGCGGGATCAGATGTCCTGCAGGCGAAAGCAATTGGCCGGGAGCCATCTTGGAGAGGGGACAGCTGAGCTCAGAACTGAGAACAACTGCTGGGTCCGTCTAGCAGGTCCTAGCTGAGTTCAAGCCCAAAGAAGGTACACTGCCTGCTGCAGGCTGAACAGGTTGGGTCCTGGCCTCACAGCCAGAAATGAGCCTGAACAGTAGGGGAAATAAAGGTGCAGACTAGCTGAGATTATCTACTACTCTGCTGCTATAAAGTAACTGCTGGCTTGCTGGGATAAATCATCGTAGATTTGGACTCTATCTCCACACATTATCTATCATGACAGCAGAGACAAACCTTGAAGTGGGATTTTTTTCTCTCTTTCTTTTCTTATTGTTTGTTTTTGTTTTTCCTTTAGCATTTGACCTTGTTTTTATGTGAGTATGAATGTTGTTCTGTTCTATTCTTCCTTTTATTTCTTCTTTCTCTTTTTCCCTCCTGTCTTCTGTACCAGTCTCCCAAAGCTTGTATGATCCTCCTTTGTCCTCTACTTGCTTCTAATCTCTTCCTTTTCTTCTATTTGTCTTTTTTCCCTAACCCCTTTTAAATTTTCTCCCCTGAAGGCAAAATTGGCATATTGAAGGTTTATTTACAGCATTCAATTTTCTGGTTTGTTTTAGATTATACCACAAATCTAGTTCATGTGGTTAAAGGTGGCAAATTGATGGGTACCTCAGTTTGTCATTTTCTAGGCTGTGTTTCATGCTATTGCTATTACTGATTGTACCACTTTAACTAAAGTGACATAATCGTTTTAACTAGCTGTTCTTCCTCGTATACTAAGGAAAACCCTGTAGACCAGTGCCAGAGAACCAGGGGCTGGGCAAAGCAAGCAGTAACTTCTCATCCCCAACAAACTGAAGAGATAGGGACTTGCAACAGACTCAAAACCCAAAAAAACAGCTAAGCCTGAAGGACACCTCTGAGAAGTCATTTCCTAAGGGTTCTAAATAGTAGCAATAAACAACTCTCCATAAGCAATTTACAAGCATTAACCCAGGAATTAAACAAAAAAATGGAAAATGAGAAGACACTTAGACATGATACAAACCCAGATATACAGTTCACCAAAGGCAAACCCAGAGGGCAATGAGGTGGGACACTCTAAAAACCACCCACCTGACCTCTGTGAAATGGTAACAACAAAGCAAATAAATGAGGCTCTGGACAAAAATCAAATCAGAAATAATTTCTTAGATACCTACAGAGATGGTGACCACAATTAAAAACATGTTTAGTGACACTAGAGCAAGTACAGATAAAAAACAAATTTAGAGAACCTTAAGAAAATGGTGGAAACCATGAATGCCCAACATAGGAAAGAAATGGAATCCATAAAACATACAAAAAAATACCCAGAAGACTAAAAATTCCATTTAAAGTATCCATAGCAGAATAAGCCAATTTGAGGTCAGAATCTCAGACATAGAAAGCAAGTTTGTGGTTAGTGATCATGAAAAGAAAGATTTCTTAAAAATAGCAAGGCACCACAAGAAATCAATCTAGCAACTGCTAGGTGATGCAAAAAAAGGATAACATAAGATTGACGAGAGTCAGTGAAAAAGCAGGAGATAGCAAAAATGATATAAAACCTGTTCACAGATGTCATGGCAGAAAACTTCCTTGGCAGGGAAAAAGAAGTTGACAGCCAGGCATGGTGGTGCATGCCTGTAATCCCAGCACTTGGGAAGCTGAGGCAGGAGGACCATTGCAAGTTCAAGACCAGCCTGGCCTACAAAGTGAGCTCAAGTTCAGCCTGAACTGCACAATGAGACCCTGTCTCAAAAAGACCAAAAAAAAAAAAAAAAAGAAGTTGACATCTCAGAGATAAGTAAGGCATTAGAAATTCAATTAGTCATGATAAAAAAAAAAAAAAAAAAAAAAAAAAACTACAGCAAGGTATATCATAGTCAAGATTCCAGAAATTCAACAAAAGACTAGAAATATTAAAAGCTGTTGGAGAAGAGAAACAAATCACCTATAAGGAAAGCCCATCAAACTCACAGCTGACTTCTCAACACAAACCCTCAAGTCAAAGAGAACTTGGAGTGAAGTACTTCAAGCCCTAAAAGAAAACAACCTCCAAGCTAGATTGATGTGCCCTACAAAACTATCTTTCAAAATTGATGGAGAAACAAAATACTTCCATGACAAAGAACACCTGAGGAAATTCATGAACACCAAACCAGCAGTCCAAAATGTTCTGAAGGACATTCTAGAAAGAGATAACAGGACTACAGTTCCATGAACCTCAACAGAATGAATCCACCAGGCAAGGCAAAGAAACAGAGGGGAAAAAAGGGGGAGCCAACAACAGGAAAATAGCATAACAAGGATAAGTCAATACGTAACAGTTATAATCATCAATGTTAATGGTCTCAATTCACCAATCAAAAGACACAGATTGGCAGAATGGATCAAGAAACAAGATCCAACAGTATGCTGCATACAAGAAACACATTTAATTCCAAAAGAAATTCATAGACTGAAAGTCAAAGTATGGAAAACAATACTCCATGTGACAGGAACTCAGAAAAAAGAAGGGATAGCTCTTCTATTTGGAGACAAAATGAATTGCTAAGACTGATTAAGAGAGACAAAGAAGGTCACCATATCCTTGTAAAGGG